CTGCCAGCCCCGCAAAGGGGGGTCCCTCGGCCTCATCCTTGTGGAAACTCATGCCAGCCCCAGGGGGAGAGGGGAGGGGGAGGCAGGGTGTGCGTCATCCACCACATTCACAGATGGGGAAACTGAGGCTCCGAGTCTTCTCATGTAAAGTGAAGAGGGATGAAGCGCTGACAGCCAGCTCTTAGTGAGCGCCAACGCCGGCCCTGTGGGCTCTGTCGCTGAATCCTCCCACGACCCCCGGAGGGAGATTCTGCGGTGGACCCTCTTTATAGAGAGAAAACTGCAGCTCAGAGAGGGGAAGGCACCTGTTGGGTTTCACGCCTGTGAATGACAGGAGAGGATGCGAATGCGATTATCGTTTCCAACGTGTAACGGGCAAAGGGAAACTGAGAGGCAATGGGGCTTGCTGAGGGCCAGCACGTGCCCCACCCGGGGTGTAGACGCACAATCTGTGGATTGAGGAGAGACAGCACACTGGCCTCGCAGGATGCTGGGAGGAAGGAGCTTGTGAGAATGTGTTTGTAAAACCTTTGAACACAGCGTCCGGCATATGGTAGGTGTGCGAGAAAAGGTAGTGGCTTCATTTCCCACTCTTTTTGGGGTAAAATTTCTGTCTGAAAAGAGAGAGGGAGGGAGAGAGACAGGGGAGAAGGAATAACAGATGGCCACAAGAGGCAGAGAAGTCTTTGAGGTTCCCTTGGGGCATTGAAATGGGACACAAGATGCTGCCTCTGCAGAGCCCTGGGCGTGCGATGTTCCGAGGCTGTCCCCTGGGTGTTTGGGCACATGGCACAGAGCCATGGTTGTAGGCTTAAACCCCGCGGGGTGGGGGAGTCAGTCCCTTGACTCTTTCCTCTCATGTCTTCCACTCGTGTTTCTTGAGGGCCTACTATGTGCCAGATGCTGGGACTAATGTGGTGAGAGAGCAGACATAGTCCTATTCGCATGGGGCTCAGATTCCAGGTGCTCCCCCTCCAGTGACCCCCCCCCACCTCCCAGCACTGGCACTGAGTGTGGGAGGCTCAAGTCAGCACCTCACTCCCCAGGAGGAGCCCCCACCTCACTCACAGTCCCTTCCCGGGCCTGCCCCCTTCCCTCCCCACACCACTGATGCCTCAGTCTCTTTCTGGTCCCTGCCAGCTTCTAATGAGCTCATTATCCTCTTAAAAGCCATTTGGCACCCACTTAGAGAAAAGATGTGTTGAAATATAAAAGAATGAGAAGAGAACAACAAAAGGACTAAACCCAGAAATATCCTGAGAGAGACAAAAAGCCACAGGGAACACACGACAGCCAGAATTTTTATCGTCTCCATGGCAGCAAATGTGTCACCGTGATGGCTTTAAAGGCTGCCCCCATGTGCCCGTGGGAGGGGTGGAGCAGGGGGCTTTCCTTGAGCACCTACTATGTGCCAGGCGCTCTTCCTGCAATTTTTAATTCAGTCCTCCAGCACTGTGTTTTTGAGGATGTCAAGATTCCGGTGCCCACTTTACAGGTGGGAGCCTCAGTCAGTGAGAAGAGGTGTCTTGCTCTGGCCACACAGCTGGTGCGTGGAAGAGGCGGGGTCTAAACCCAGGGTAGTCTGCCTCCAGAGTCCACGCTCTTGCCTGCATGCCTCTGGAAGGGCTGGTGCCCCCCCACCCATCCCCATGAGGGCTGCTGCTGGCCTCTACTCATCCTGGTCCAGCTGCAGAAACATCTGGCGTGTGTGTGATCTACACGGAATACCACGAGGCACCACCCACAGCCTGGAGGTTTTCAAGCTAAAGAGACTGGTCTGTCTTTTGTTTTATTTTTTTTTTTAAGGAAGATTGGCCCTGAGCTAACATCCACCACCAATCCTCCTCTTTTTGCTGAGGAAGACTGTCACTGAGCTAACATCTGTGTCAGTCTTCCTCTATTTTGTATGTGGGATGCCTGCTACAGTGTGGCTTGATGAGTGGTGTGTAGATCCACGCCCTGGATTCAAACCAGCAAACCCAGGCCGCCGAAGCAGAGTGCACAAACTTAACCACTGCGCCACTGGGCCAGCCCCATGAGACTGGTCTTTTAAAAGTGTCAATGTGACCGTGAAACTTCAGTGGATCCCCATGGACACTGTTAGAGCACAGCCGGGACTCCTGAGTTTGGCATTCAAGGCTCCCCATGGTCTTGCCCCCTCCACTGCTTAGCTGCATTCTCCGCCCTAACCTCCTTTGCCTCCTCCACCCCGGTGGCCTGCCCTTCGTGTGTGCTGTTCCTCCTCCTTGGGGTGTCCTTTTTCTGTTCCCTCACCCAGAAAACCTTGACTCCTCTTGTAAGACCTGCCAGCTCAGGACCTCTCTCCGGGGAAACCCTCTCTGACCCCCGGGCGGTTGCAGATCCACACCTCTCCAGGCTCCCACATTCCAGGGCTTCTCACCCCGGGGTCCGCAAGCCCCCTAATGTTGTAAGCCATAATCTGAGAGCTTATGTGCAAGGGCTCTTTTCTGGGCACAGTCTCTGTAGTTTCCATCAGATTCTCAAAGGAATACGAGACCAGAACAGATGCGTGGTTAGGAATATAATCTGTGAATCAGTTGACCTTGGGTTTACAACCCAGCTGCCACTTACCAGCTGTGCAGCCCCAGATAAGTTACTCAATCTCTCTGAGCCTCATTCCTCTCTGCTGTGAAATAGATAGAGATCACCCCCATAGAAGTGTTATAAGGATTAAATCAGAGTATGTATGTGTTTACAGTGTTGTCTGGCACATAATAAGTGCTTAATGAACATTAGCTATTAATCTTAATTGCTGTTCTATATCTTATACATACATCTACTACAGGATTTATCACTGTCTACCTAGTATACTAGTATAGTGATTGTTTAAATTGCCGTCTCTCTCAGTAGACTCTGAGTTCTCTGAAAGCAGGGAGTTTGAATTATTTATTTCTGCATCCTAAGCGCACACATAGTGGGCAAGCAACACATGTTTTTAAATGAATGGAGGAATGAGTAGATGAATGGCTGGGTGGAGAGTTGGATGAATGAATGGGCTGCTACAGTTCAGATGAATGGGTGGATGGATGAATGGCTGGATGGATGGATGGATGGGTGGATGGGTGGATGGATAGAGGGAGGGAGGGAGGGATGGATGGATGGATGGATGGATGGATGGATGGTTGGGTAAATGGATGGATGGACAGATGGGTGAATGGATGGACGGATGGCTGAATGGGTGGATGGATGGATGGATGGTTGGGTGGATGGATGGATGGATGGATGGGTGGATGGATGGATGGATGGGTGGATGGATGGATGGGTTAATGAAATAGATTAATGGTGGATGGATGGAAGGATAGATAGATTGATGGTCAGATTAAGGAAGGGATGCTGGATGGGTAGACAGGTTACGACTTGATGGATGGTGGACTGATGGCTGGATTAAAGGGTGATGGACAGATGGACGGATTGATGAATAACAGATAATTTGACCCCACAAGAACATGAATTTTTTGCTGTTTAGTTCACTTATCTACTCTAAGTGCCTGGAACAATAACTGGTGCATAGTAGGTCCTCAGTACTTAGCTCCTGGATGAATGGGATGGCTTATGGAGGACTGGCGGACTCTACTTTGAACCAGTTAAACTCCCATGCTGTTGTCCCACGCTGCCCCTCCCCATTAGGAGGGGCTGTTACCATTCAGATCATTCATTGGCTGACAATTGAATCCCATGTATTGGCTAAAGTTGTCATGGGCCCCCTGCTGGTGGCCATGTGAAACAGCATCAGCCAAATGGAGTTTTCTATTTTCTAATTGACATTCTATTTTCCTCCTGGCTGACGATCCTGAACGTTTATTCACAAAGCAATGGTTTTGAAACCTTTGTGCTCGTTACTGTCACCCGAGGGCACCTTGTTACACCTGTCGTTTCCCCCTCCACCAAAGATTCTGATTGGAGAGGTCGGGAATCTGCATGTTTAACCGAGCTTCCAGGTGATTCTGAATCAGATGCTCTGCAGACCACACTCTGAGGGACCCTGGCAAAGGGTGAGCCACTGCTGGTCACTGGGAGGCAGTGGAGCTGGGCTGCTGCTTCGGGGGCTATCTCAGAATTCCCAAGTGATGTCCAGACCCTGTGGGAAAAGAACAGAGTCCAAAAGGCAGTGGTAGACACTCAATAAATACCGAGTGAATGGATATGTTGCTAAATAATCCTGCCTCCCCTCCTCTGCCTTGGATGGAGGAGGGTTGCTGTGGACTTCATCTTTCCCACTAGAATGTGAGCCTGTGAGGGGAGGGTCTTTGTTTCTCTGGCTCACAGTTCATCTGCAGCACCTAGGACAGTGCCTGCAACATAGGAGGTGCTCACTAAATTTGTTGAATGAATTTGATCTGGTCCAATGTCAGCCAGGTCCTGCAGGCAGCTCAGCAAAGATAGGAAGTACATTTTGGACTTAAAGTCACCCACAGGGGGCCAGCCAGGTGGCCCAGCGGTTAAGTTCACACGTTCAGCTTCTTGAAGGCCCCAGGGTTCGCTGGTTCGGATCCCGGGTGCGGACATGGCACCGCTTGGCAAAAGCCATGCTGTGGCAGGCGTCCCACATATAAAGCAGAGGAAGATGGGCATGGATGTTAGCTCAGGGCCAGTCTTCCTCGGCAAAAAGAGGAGGATCGGCAGTAGTTAGCTCAGGGCTAATCTTCCTCAAAAAAAAAAAGTCACCCACAAATCAGTGTATATTTAACAAATATAGAGGAAGTGCGGGGCATAAGAACCTGTGCTTGTCCTAAATGAAGCTTGTCCTCAAACCAGGGTCCAATAGGAGTCAAGCCCCCAAATTCCCAGTGTAGTTTAAAGAAAAAGGCAGTATTCTAGACCCTCCGGCCTGGGCTCCTGTCCAGCACTGCTGAGTGCTTCAGGCCATTGGTTTCCTCCCCTCTCTGGACTCTGTATCCCCCCTTGAGAATGTTCAAGAACCTTCGAGCTCGGGCCCCTGGGACGAGGTTTCTTATGCCTGTGTCTGTGCTGTTTTGCAGGGGGCAGCCCTGAGCCCTGATGCTTGAGCGGATGGGGGCCCATCAGCGTCTGCTTCTACGAGGTGGACACGCTGGGGAAGAGGCCAGAAATGGCCCTCAGTGAAGTTAGCCAGCCCCGACAGCCCTGAGGAGCCGAGAGAGAAGTGAGCTGCAGCCGCTGGTGACCCAGGGGTCCTCCTCTGATTGCTGTTTTCAAAGTTGTTTGGGAACTCTAGGAGGCGAAGACAAAGATGTAGGAAAATGGGACCAACTCTGGGGTGCCCCGAGCTTCAGAACCCCTTTTGCGGCCCAAAGGAGCCCACCGTGACCCCGGGAGGGCTGATGAGCTCTGTCCTCCAATCTCTTGGCCTCAGCCAACCCGCAACCGAGCCCCAGCGAGCCAGTCCGGAATGATCCCGCGATGGCCAAGCTCTGGTTCAAATTCCAGCGGCACTTCCGCCGGAAACCTGTACGTTTCTTTACCTTCCTGGTGCTCTACCTGACAGCCGGGAGCCTCGTCTTCCTTCACTCTGGCTTCGTGGGCCAGCCCGCCGTCTCCCAGAACCAGGCCAACCCTGCCGCTGGGGTCCCGGCTGAGGGCGCCGAGCTGCCCTTCCTGGGTGACTTGCATCTGGGCAGAGGCTTCCGGGATGCAGGCGAAGCCTCGAGCATCGCCCGCAGGTACGGACCCTGGTTCAAGGGCAAGGACGGGAATGAGAGAGCCAAGCTGGGCGACTACGGTGGAGCCTGGAGCCGAGCCCTCAAGGGGAGGGTCGTCCGGGAGAAGGAGGAGGAGCGAGGTAAGAGGGGTGAGCATGTGGGCGTGGAGGCTGGCTGAGGAGCAGGGAGGCAGAGAAGAGTAATATAATAACAGCTGCCAGTCTCCAGTGTTTGATGGAACCAGCCGTCGTAGTGTGATAGCCACAGATATCAAGAGGTCTCACTATCACCCCCGTTTCACAGAGGAGAAATTGAAGCTCAGAGAGATGAAGTAACTTGCCCAAGGTCACACAACTTGTAAACAGCTAAGCTCGGATCTGGACCCTGCATTTATCAGAAGTCAGAGTGTGACCATCCCCTGCAGCCTTTTTTCAGTCCTTGTTAAATACACATGGAAATAAAAACAGCTAGCATCTACTGAGCACTTGCTGTTCTAAGCACTTTACATGCATCAAATTATTACAGCTCTATGTGGTAGGTCCTATGAGTCCCATTTTTAGGATGAGGAAACTGAGACACCAAAAGCCCAAAGTTACATGGCCAGTTGCGGCAGAGCTCCTGCTCCCCCACACAGCCTCCCCTCCACCACATGGCCTCCCCTCCCCAACACGGCCTCTCCTCCACCTCACTGGATCCCTTGGTGATGGTGCTTGGGGAACATCATTGCCCTGAGCATATTTTGTTGCATTTTCTTAGCCTTTCAGAGTCCAAAAGGGCTTTTCTTTGTGGGTGCATTACTCTATTTGGTTTTCACTACATTTCGTGGACTTGAACAAGGAATGGGGTCCTGTGCTCAGTTAAGCGATATGGAAACTGAGGCTTGAAGAAGTGAAGACACTTGCCCAAGGCCGCACAGCTGGTGAGTGGCAGCCCTAGGGTTCCATCTGGTCAGCTGGCCTGAACGCTTAGCTCTATGCCTGTCTCAGAGTCTGCTGACGTCTGCCCATCTGACCAGCATGCTGCGGGGGACCCCAAAACCTCTGCAACTCGTGAGATTGGCACGAACGGACGTTGGCAGAACAGATTGGGGGACGGGTTCCCATTCCATCTCCACCCCCACCAGCCATGTGGCTCAGGCAAGTGGCTTGACCTTCTCATGCCTCAGTTTTGTCATCTATAAAATGGGAATAGTGACTCCTCCCTTCCAGGACTCTTCTGAGAGTTCAGTAAGACAATGTTTATGAAGGCACCTAGCAGAATGCCTGGCACATAGTAGGTTCTTAGAGGAGACCAGGAAATTCTCGTGGATCTCAGGAAGGGACCCCATCTTTAGGCAGGTGAGGGGTGAGGTGCTACATTTAGGGAGAAATTATGATGTGGCTTCTATCTCCATCCTCTCCACTCACCAAGCTCCACCTCACCCCAGCCACTCCAAACTCCACCTGTAAGCCCCAAACTTCGCAAACCCCAAAGTTTGTCACAAGCCGGCACCTTAAGATATGTTCCCATCACACATAGGATAAATTCTAGAGTCCCTGCCATGGCCCATCTCCCCAACCTCATCTTGTAACACTCCCCACGCCCCTCACCACACCCCACCCCACTGTCCTTCTTGCCGTTCATTGAACACACCGAGCCCATTCCTACCTCAGGATCTTTGTATAGGCAGTTCCTTCCATCTGGGATGCTCTCCCCCCATATCTTTGCATGGCTCCCTTCCTCCCTTCCTTCAGGTCTCCAGTCAAACCTGGCATTCCCATAGAGGCCTCCCTGGACTGTCCCAACCAAAATAGCCCCACTTCATACCTGGGTACAACCACATTCCCCAGTTTTATTTTTGTCATAGCACTTACCATCCGAAAGCCTCTCGTTTATGTGTTTGCTTCCTTGTTTATAGTCTCTCCCCCTTACTAAACTGCAAGCTCCATGAGGGCAGGGATGTTGCCTGTCCCGACCGCCTCTGTTCTATCAGCACCTGGGACAGCGCCCAGCACAAAGATGGCGCTCAATACCTACTGTTGAATGAGCGAATGTTGGATGGACCAACGAATGAGTGACCATCCCTCTGCCTGGAGTGCCTCCGAGGGTTAACTCTACTCTTCCTCCTGGTCTCAGCTTAGCTCCCTCCAAGAGCCTGTCCCTGACCCCGCTCCAGTCTTGATCAAATGCTCCTCCTCTGTGCCCCCTGTCATCGTCCTTATAGGAATGATACTTGCCTGTGTTTGTCAAGGTTCCCTGATAGAACTTGAATTCTTTGTGGCACAATTGATACGTACAACAATAACATTATAAAATGGAAAGAGAGAAGGGAGAGAAAATACGAAAGAAGCCCGGGGCCCAGAGTTCTCAGCAGGCAGCCTTTGGAATCCGGCAGCGTTATTAGGAAAACACAAATCCAGCCTGTCCTTGATTAACTTATTCAGAGTTCAGCGAGGAAAGACGACATATTAGTTTAACGCTAATAAAAGCGAGAGGCTTCTCTGAACTGATGCAAAACACATCGGGTTTTTCTCTGAAGCTGGTGAGGGCTCTGCTTGATGCGGTGATGCGGGACTTGAGCTGTAAAGGATTCAGAGCCCCCATCACGGGCCGGGAGGGGAGGGAGGAGCTGCTTCCAGGCTGGGCTGGGACCGGGTGGGAGTCTGACTTCCTGGGTGGAGCTGGCACCTAAAACGTGCCAGTCATCTTGCTTGTCCTTTACCTCCCCCAGCCTTGCGAGAGCCTATACTTTGGGCAGCAAATAGAGTTCAAATCCCAGTTCTGCATCTTGTTGGCTGTGCTGCTTTGGGCAGGTCACTCTGCATCTCTGAGCCTCAGTTTCCTTTTTGGGATAAAAAGTATCTAACATCAGATGATTATATAAGAGAAATCGACTATGTGTTCTCTAAGTGCCAGGCAGTGTTCTAAGCACTTGGTGTCTATTACGTCATGCAATCTTCATGGAAGCCCAGTGAGTTGGACATTGTTATTAACTCCATCTTATAGGGAGGAAAATGAGACACAGAGAGGTTAAGTGACTTAGGCAAGGTTATCCAGCTGGAGCTGGGGGTAAACCAGTATTTGAACCCAGGTGGTTTGAATCTTACACTCGAACCTTAACCGCAGCATCGCCTTATTCTCAGTGCACAGAAAATGCTCAGCACAGAGTCTGGCACACGGTGAGCACTGAATGCATGTCAGCTGTTATTAATATTGCGATTCTGCCGGAGAAAACAGAGGTGCACAGAGGTGATGTGGCTTGCCTGAGGTGACACAGCCAGACGGGGGCGGAGCCAGAAGCCAAATCCAGTTTGATTTCAAAGCCTGTGCTGTTTCTGTTCCCCCTCAAATTACAGAGGGGTATATGCTGGGCATGAAGGAGGATATGGGGAGACATAGCCTGCGTTTTGGAAGGGGCAGAAGTCACCTACTCCCCATCTCCTCCTCCTAACCTGAAGGTCCAGTCTCTGCAGGTTATTGAGGGTCTGGTCTGTGTCAGGGAGACTGTGCATCCATACTCTCCTTTCAGCCTTGCATCAGGTAGGAATTATCGAGCCCCTTTTGTAGGTGAAGAAACAGAGTGTCAGAGAGGTTAAGTAACTTGCCCAATGTCACACAGCTGCTTAGAGGCAGAGCAGACTTCAACCCAATTCTGTCTGAGTTCAGAGCCCTTATTCTTAACCACTGAGCTATACAATCCCCAACTCCATTCATTCATTCTGTATTTATTGCACACCTACTGTGTGCCCTGCCTTATGCTGGGAGGTGGAGACACAGGAATGATTCAAGCCCAGTTTTTCCCTCTGAGGAATATTCATAGCCCCCTGGGAGAAGACAGGCAAGTAAAAAGAGAAATTTTATTTTCAAAAAATAACTTTTTTCCTGATGATCAAAGTCACACATGCTCATTGTAGAAAAATTAGAATACACAGAAAAAGAGAAAGATGAAATAAAAATGGCCCAGCCCCACCATCCAACAACAGCCACAGTCAGTGCCGTTGGCGTATTGCCTTCCTATTTCCTTTATGGGTGTATTTCCAAAGCATATATTTTATATACATAGCATTGTATTCTGCTTTTCCCCATTATAGCACTTTTTCATTTTCTTAAAAATTCTTCTACAATGAGCCTAAATTATTTCTAATTTGAAAAGTAATGGACAGTACTTGGAAAATTGTTTAGAAAAGTATTCTGATGGGGTTAGCCAGGGGGCTCTGGGATCCCAAGGGAGGGGTCCTGTTCATGCACGGGCTGTATCACGGTGCCTTCCTCAGGATGAGATAGTTGAGCTGAGTCTGTGGGATCCCTGGGCCGTGGCCGAAAGGAAAGATGCATCCCTTGTTCCCCAGAGAAGCCTAGAAAGGAGCAGCAAATTCCGTCCCCCGCACGAGGAAACCCAGACAGCACGGCAGTGGTCATCCCGACGGACCGCCTTCCAGGATGGCAGCAAATCCCAGCAGAGAAATGACTGTCTCGTGAGTCTCTGCTCTGTACCAGGCTCAACGCAAAAAGGAATCTTGCCTACAGTCCATCTTTAATCCCTTGTATTAGTTTCCCAGGGCTCCTGTATCAAAGTACCGTGAACTGGAGGCTTAGAACAACAAACGTTTACTGTCCCACAGTTCTGGAGGCCACAAGTCCAAAATCAAGATATTGGCAGAGACACGCACCCTCAAAGGCTCCAAGGAGAATCTGTTCCATGCCTTTCTCCTAGCGTCTGGCGTCGCCAGACCCTTGGCATGCCTTGGCTTGGAGCTGCCTAACTCCAATCTGTGCCTCTGTTTTCACGTGGCCTTCTCCTTGTGCGCCTGTGTCTTCATAAAGCCATCTTCTTAGAAGGACACCAGACATACTGGATTGCCCCCCGACTCCCGTATGACCTCATAACAATGAATTACGTCTGCAACGACCCTATCTCCAAAGAAGGTCGCATTCTGAGATCCTGGGCTCAGGACTTCCACATATCTTTCTTTTTTTTTTTACGCAATTCAAGCCAGAACACCCCTATTTTTTTATTCCCACTTTTCAGGCAGGGGAAGTGTGATCTCCAAGAGCTTGAGTAATATACCGCAAGGATACGGCAGTGTCAGGATTCGAACCCAGATCGGGTTGACTCCAAAAGTGTTCTCCTTCCAGTACACTGTAATGCCTCCTGTTTGTCAACTGACTCACAGACAGTAAACAAGAGAAATACAAATTAGCTCCTGTTTAGCTACCCTTTTAACAAGTTACCATTATTGAAGACAGCAAAATTTTTTGAAAAGGAGGATTAATTGAAGCAAAGGAAAAAAGTAAAGGAAAGAAAAACACACCGGCAGGAGGGTTCCTTTCCAGATGGCTGTGCCCTCCTGGGCTCGCCCCTCCCTCACTGGCCTCTGTGCCTAAGGTAAACAGCCCGGCTAGGCGACTGTGCCGTTTCAGCGATATTTGTGGGCTGTGGAGACGAGCTGATAGATGGTGTGAACTCGGCGGTTAATCCACCCTCAAGTGGCTGTGAGTTTGCCCCTGTTGTACACACCTGACCTCTCCCCTCATCTCCAACCCGGGGGGAGATTCTGCCACCACTGCGGGATCTGAAGGCGGGGCCCTGGGAAAACGGCTCAGGTGGGCTGGCGGTACCCAGGCTGGTGAGCTTGGTGCTCAGCGGGGTGACCCGATTCTAGAGACAGGGCCACAGCCTGCCCTGAAGGGTCAGTGGGGAGGGAGTCGCCAGCCCTCGCTCAGCACAGGGAGGAAGCTGACTCAGGTCCGTATCCTGACCCACAGAGCTCAGCCCGTTCATCAGGCCACCTTGCGGACCGCGCCTGTGTTTCTCCAAGCATTGAGGAAGGGTCGGGTATCTTTTTCTCCCTCCTGTTGACAGATGAGGAAATGGAGGGTCATCTGCTCATCAGCAGGTCGTTGAGTACCTGCTGTGTGCGCCCGTCTCAGCCTGAGGCTGGCCCAGTGGGAGGCTAAGAGAGCCTGTAAAAGCTCAGGCTTCAGGAGGATGGCCCTACAGTCAAGTCCCAGCCCTTTTCCTAAGGGACCCTCCCTCTCCATCTTCCCCCGCGCAGGCCTCTCAGGCGAGGATGGAGATGCCCTCCTCTCAAGCCGAGACTCAGTGTGGTCCATGGGAAGGGGCAGCTTTGGATAGACAGGCCTGCCTGCGGCTTTGGTCCAGACCCTCCCAGCGGGTGGACTCAAGCAACTTAGCTTGAGGATCAGCATATTGGTCAGTGCTCCTTTGGTGGCAAGGGACAAACAACCATGTTGAACCAGCTGGAGCTAAAGGAGAAAATGTGTTCTGTCTTGTCACCAAACTCTGAAAAGGGCTGGACTTTCTTTTCTTTCTTTCTTTTTTTTTTTTTTTTTTGAGGAAGATTAGCCCTGAGCTAACATCTGCTGCCAGTCCTCCTCTTTTTGCTGAAGAAGACTGGCCCTGAGCTAACATCTGTGCCTATCTTCCTCTACTTTATATGTGGGACGCCTACCACAGCATGGCTTGCCACGCGGTACCATGTCCACACCCGGGATCGGAACCTGCGAACCCCAGGCCGCTGAAGCAGAACATGCAAACTTAACCGCTGCACCACCGGGCCGGCCCCAAGGCTGGACTTTTAAATGAATGGATTGTGCCCTGCTCTCTCTGTTCTCCTCTCTGCTTGTCTCTCTCTGGCTTGGTTCTCCTCCGACACAGACTGACTTTGGTTCCAGGGATGGTGGCAGTGGTGGCTCTGGGCTTACAGGATGCCAACGTCATGACCCATGGGAGACAGATTTCCTTCTCCCACATTTAATCTATAAGAATCCAGGGAATGGGTCATGGCCCTTCCCCGGAGCAACCAATCACTGGCTGGTGGGGGTGACAATACGATTGGCCATGTCAAGGTCAGCGTCTCCCCATGGTCAAGACCAGACCCCGTGGTCAAGGTCTTTTAATAGGAAAATAGGAGGAAGGGGTGCTTTGAGGGTGCGGATGGTACCGTTACAGTCCACGCCCTCCCTGCACAGTGGGCATGTGTATGTACACGCATGCACACCCTGGCTCCCATTAATTTGATTAGAAAAATCTCATCTCACACAGTCCAATGTCCCACATAGAGACAAACACACCTACCCGCAGCCTAAGGTGACACCGCCCACAGCCATAGTTCATCCAGATCCAAGCCCGGCGTCTCTGGAGCACGAGCGTTCCTCCATCACGTCTCCACGCGGCTCCTTATGATCCTGGGGCCTGTGGGCCGCAAGAAAGTGAAACCTCCCCGAGTGTAGAATGGGTGGAGGACAGGCCTGCGCTTAAATTTTAAGTGAGACGCTGACAAGCTGTAGGCACCTGGGCAGATGCCGTAGCTTCTAATGCCACGTGGAACAGAGGAAGGACAGAAGCAACGTGACGAGTGACCTTACCTCTCAGGTGAGAGCACGTACCCTATGCCAGACCTGAGATTCGCGTCTAAGGCAGACAGATGTCATAGTCACTGCGATCATTTGCCGCCTCGATAAAGTGGGTTAACAAGAAGGGTGTGAGAGTCGAATGAAACAAATTAGGCAGGTCCCATAGCGAAGTGGACAGCACATAGTAGGTCCTCAACACGTGAGAGTTTTGCTCCTCTCTCTCATGCACACACACGCAGTCTGTTGATCTGATGACAGAGAACTCTTGCTGCCAAAGTAGCCTTTTTCCCCTTCCTCTCTCTCTCCATGTCCTCTCCCTCTGTCCCATCCCTTCCTCCCTCTCTCCTCCCTCCATCTCCCTCTTCTTTTTCCCCCTCCTGCTGCCTTACAATGCCTCCTTGGACACTCTGTCCTCCAGTGAACTATTGGGCTAAGGTTGGTGTGCAGCCGTCACCAGTGTGGCCCGTGGACGCTCCCTCTCCCAGCTCAGGTGTGAACAGCACGCATGCCCCGGGTCGCGGGGACGTGACTCCATCTGTAACAGGAAGGACGTTTGTCGTTGAACAAGCCCAGTGACGAGATGCGGGCTTCTCCTGAGCTGTCACCGTCTGATGTGCCCGCTCGAGGAGGCGTGTTTCTTTTAAAGATGGACTGTTCGAACAAATCACCTCCGTCTTATGAAAGAAATTCAAGGTGATCGAGGTCGAGGCGCGTCTCCAGCGGGACTGACAAATTCTGCACTTAGCAGCGTGGTATTGAGGCCCACGATCGCTCTGTAAGGAGCCGGCATCCTCTGCCAGACTCTGCTCTCCCAGGGGCGCAAGGCGGGCAGGAAGCCCACAGTTTAAATAGACAGCTGTCTCGGCAGGGAGAGTGATCAAGTGGCATGTCGCACTTTCCTCCATCATTCTTTATGACGGCCGTTTAGTTCCAAGGGCTGCTGGGTCCTCGGTCCAACCTGCAGTTACCTCCAAGTGGAGCAGTGGAAAGAGAACGGGTGTGGGGCCCCCTAGACCTGATTTAAATCTTTGTTCTAACACCGGTCAGCTGCGGGTCTCGGCCAGGCCGCTTCACCTTTCTGGGCCTCTGTTTGATCATCTAAGAAAAGAGCGCGGGAAAGCCAGTGCTCCCCACTTCACTTGGGTCATTGCAGAGATCCCCAGATTCAAGAATAAGCCAGCAGGAGTTCAGAACATAGTCTCTGGAGCCGGATTGCCTGCATCCAATCCTGGCTTCACATGTACAAGCTGTGTTTCCTTGGGCAAGTGACTTAACCTCTCTGGGCCTGTTTCCTCTTCTGTACAGAATGGGAATATTAGCACTTACCACATAAGACCATTGTAAGGATTCAATAAGACAATATGTGCAAAGCATTTAGCAAAGTGCATGTCCAAATTAATTATAATAATTGTAACAACATACGGGAAAAGACCTTATAAACTGTAAAGTGCCATCTTCATGTGTAAGAATTACTATTTACCGTGAAGTACAGAAAAATGTTTACTGCTTTAAGAAAACTAAGAAATGGTTTATAATTAGATGGGTGTTCTACATAATTTAAAATTTTCCTTTGAATGGAAGTATTCACCTTGGCCCCCAATATAGGCAAACTGTCAAGTACCTACACTGCATTGTGAATGGCCAGTTTCTTATTCCACTCACCTGAACCTTGTGTCTATTACATGCAAGACACTATGGTAGAGACATTTACGCAAATTGTTCCATTTCAACCTCACCAGGTTGGTATTTTCACCCCCTCTGTGGAGAAAACTAGGCCTCAGAGAGGTTAACTGGCCCAAACTCACTAGTCCAGTGCTAGAAGGTAATGAAAGTGAGATGAAAACCTAGACCTCGAGATATCCAAGTACAGTGTTCCTTTCGAGGAAGAATAAATATCTCAAGGCAACTTGTAGAAATGATCCTATGCTGTCAAAAGTTGAGCTTCTCAGAGCTGCCTTAATATGTCTCATCTGCTTGGTGCTTAGGGAATGACCTTGCCTTGGGTTCCTAGGTGCCCAGTTGCTGCCAGTAGAGTCCGGGGGCTTGAGTTTAAGCCTCTCTGCAGGAGGGTCCCCTCCTCCTCTCTGCTGGCCTCCAGGGCCCACAGCCTTACCCATTGGACTCCCCTGCCCTCGTGGGTCAGTTTCTGCCAATGCACATGACCGTCAGTCTCACTTGTTTGTGCCTCTCTGCTCAGAGGATGGGATTGGTAGCCTAAGGTCAACAAGTCCTCGTAGCCAGGGGCACACCGGTTACTCCTGTAACTCTTTCAGCTTCGTACCCAGCCAAATCTGACTTTTCTCCTCTCCCCAAAGCCAAGTACATCGGCTGCTACCTGGATGACACCCAGAGCCGGGCCCTGCGAGGCGTGTCCTTTTTCGACTACAAGAAGATGACCATCTTCCGTTGCCAGGACAACTGTGCAGAACGGTAGGGCCTGATGTTCCAGGCTCCATTCATCTCCAACCCCTTCCTCCTCAGGTTCCTGCCTGTCCTGTGGTGTTCTTGACTTTTCCATGGACGGGCATGAGCATATGGCCACAAGGAGAGAGTGATGCGAGGGGGTGTGTGCGTACGTGTGTATGCACGCACACATGCATGCCAGTGAGCAGGACTGTTTGCGAGCTGGTCTGTGGGAGTTTGCAATTGTGCGGTCAAGTGGGGCTGTGCCTGGGGTTGAGTGCGTGGCATGCAGTGTGCAAGGTCAGCTGGTCATGTTTGTGAGCTTAATGCCAATACATAATTATCTCCAAATCATAGCGGCCGTGTGTGCAGGAGACTGTGTGAATGTGTGCAAGCGGCCAGAATGATGCTTGTGTGTGGGAGAAGCACGAGTGGGTGTTGATGTGCGTGCAGGTGTAAGTCTGAGCGTGAGGCATGTGAGATGCCCGTGGGAGGGGTGAGGCGGGAGTTTCCAAGAAGAGAAACCCTTGCTTTTCCCCCAGGAAGAAACACCCACCTGTCCAGACAATGGACAGGAGAAGAAAGTGATGTTCTGGATCGGAACATGCCACAGGGGAGGGAGCTGACTTTCCAAGAGGAGACGAGGCTCCAAAGGACTGGGAAACAGGGACAGGACCCTCATCCCAGGCCTGGGCACTGGCATTGCTGCCCTGGGGGCACCGGGGAGTGAGCTGACCTTCTCCTCCCCTTGTGTCCTGGGTCCCTTGACCTGCAGTGGCTTGTGAAGAGGCCTCTGATAAGCCAAGCCAGATTCTGGCTGCTGGCTCTGGAGGCCACAAGGTGTGAAGGACCTCAGCCACATGACTGGAATGGAAACGGGCAAGCGGGTGGCGGAGGGACTCCCCGCTCTGTCCCTGATTAGGGAGCACTGTCCCCTTTATCATGAGCTGCCTGTGCAGTCCACCACTGTGGTCATAGCCCAGAAGCCACTCCAGCTGGGGAAAGGTTCTCAGCCCTTGATGATACTGATTCATCCATTTATTTCTCAAGCTCTGGGGAGACAGAGGTGAATTCCACAGAGTCCCTGCCATCGTGGGGCTCACAGCCTGGGGTGGGGGGCAGGCGTGAAACCAGAAAAGGGCAGTATAGTGAGATGGGGTTGAGGCAGATTAAATCGCAGACTGTGGAAACACAGAAGAGGCCCCCAACCCACCCGGGGTGTCAGGAGAGACTTCTCTGAGGAGGCGGCAGCCAAGGGGATCGTCCATCGGAAGATGAGTCAGATCAACTTGTGTAATTCGGTTCGGTTCAGCAGATATCTATCGGCTGCCCACGTGGGCTTCAGGAGCTGGAGATGCAGAGATGAGTCAGCCCCAGCTCTGCTCTCAGGGCTCTCAGGGGCTCCCCAGCCAGTTGGGGAGATAGAGGCATGGACAGGCTTGGGCCGAAGCAAGCAACAGTTTCCACTTAGTGGGCGCTTGCTCTGTGCCAGGCGCTGTGCTGAGCGCTTTGCAAATATTAACTCTTTAACGCCCACAAGACCCCTACGAGCCAGGAGTGTTATGGTTGACATTCCACAGCGGAGGAAACTGGGCTGTGCAGCTATCAAGAGTGCTGGGTGCTAGGCTGGGAGTGCTGGACGAGGTGCAGGGGGGTCATGAAGGTTGGAGGAATGGAGGGCTCCACATGGAGGGCTCGGGAAGAGTGATAAAGGTGAGATCTTGAGCCAGGTTTTGAAGGATGAATAGGAGTTTTCTAGGTAGTCACCACAGGACAGAAATAACAGCAAATTCAAAGACCAGAACTCCTGAAACATCCTAAATACTCAGCATCCTCAGGTAGGCAGTGTGGGGTACGCAGAAGGTCCCAGGAGAGTTGTCAGGAGCAGAAGCCCACTGACACGGGGCCTTGAATGCCAACTAAAGCATCGGCCTTGCGGGGAATGGGGAACCACTGGAGAGTATTAACCTGGGGAGTGGTCTACAGTCACTCAACAAATATTTGTTAAACACCCATCATACACCAGGCATTATCCCAGGAAATGGATGTGACCTACAGGGTCGCTGTCATGGAGAATATGATGAGAGCTATAAGAAATAAGTGAGGATGTGGGAAGAGTGCCTGGTGGGGGAGGTGGCATTAGGAGGGCGGTCGGGGATGGCACCTGCAGGTGGGACACAGAGCGCACACCTGGAGGGCAAGAAGGAAGCAACTCATGAAGAGCAGCGTTTGGGTCCCAGGCAGAGAAACAGCAGGGCAAAGGCCTTGAGGCAGGAACGTGCAGTCATGTTTGAGCATCAGGAGCCTATGACTGTAGCCGCGTCGGCAGAGGGAGGAGCAGGGGAGGTGAGAATGGGGAGGTGGGTGGGGCTTGGGGAAGACGGGGGACCAGATCGTGTAGGACAGGGGCTCACAACCTGGAGCGTGCATAGCATCACCCGGAATCTTTCGAAACACAGACTGCTGGGCCCCACCCCCACTTTCTGATCCGGCAGGTTTGGGGTGGGGCCCAAGAATTTGCATTTTTAACAACTTCCCAGATGATAAGGATGCTGCTGTTTCTGGGACCACGACTGGAGCACCGCTGCTCTGATTTTTCTTGAGTAGTTATATTGGGATTATAATCCTTTATAACATTGTGTGATTTCGGGTGTACATTATTGTTTATCAGTTCCTGAATACGCTTCATCGTTCTCACCCCCAGTGGTCTAATTTTTATCCATCACCGTACATACGTGCCTCTCTGTCCCTTTTGCCCACCCCCCAACGCCCTTCCCCTCTGATAACCACTAATCAGTTCTCTTTATCCATGTATTTGTTATTTTCCACATATGAGTGAAATCACACACTATTTGTCTTTCTCTCTTTGGCTTTTTTCATTTGACATCACACCCTCCAGGTCCATCCATGTCGTTGCAAATGGGACAATTTTGTCCTTTTTAATTGAAAGCTGGAGGCATCACACTCCCTGACTTCAAAATGTACTACAAAGCTATAGTGATCCAAACAGCATGGTACTGGCACCAAAACAGACACACAGATCAATGGATCAGAATTGAAAGCCCAGAAATAAAACCACACAGCTAAGGACAGTTCATCTCTGACAGAGGAGCCAAGAACATACAATGGAGAAAGGAGAGTCTCTTCAATAAATGGTGTTGGGAAAACTGCACAGCCACACGCAAAAGATTGAAAGTAAACCATTCCCTTACACCATGCACAAAAATCAACACAAAATGGATTAAAGACTTGAATGTAAGACCTGAAACCATAAAACTCTTAGAAGGAAATATAGGCAGCACACCCTTTGACATTGGCCTTAGCAGCATCTTTTCGAATACCGTGTCTACCGCTGCTCTGATTTTCACAGCCGACGGCACATTGGAATTACATGGGACACTTCAAAACGTGTGCTGCCCGGGGCGCCCCAGGCCTGTTAAATTAGACTCTCTGGGGTCAGGACCCAGGTGTGGCATTTAAAAAATGTCCCCCAGGTGCTTCTAAGGGGGATCCAGGTTAAAGAATCACTAACAGGGGGCTGGCCCCATGGCCGAGTGGTTAAGTTCGCGCGCTCTGCTGCAGGCGGCCCAGTGTTTCGTTGGTTCTAATCCTGGGCGTGGACACGGCACTGCTCATCAAACCACGCTGAGGCAGTGTCCCACATGCCACAACTAGAGGGATCCACAACGAAGAATATACAGCTATGTACTGGGGGGCTCTGGGGAGAAAAAGGGAAAAAAAATTAAAAATCTTAAAAAAAAAAAAAAAAGAATCACTAACAGGAGGGTTTGCAGGCCGAGCTAAGCCACCTGGGTGTCTGTGTGAGTGCGGTGGAAGCTCTGGGGGTTTTAGGCAATGGAGAGGTGTGATCCATTTTAATTTCTGAAAAAGCCTTCTGGCCAAGGTGACAGCAGTGAGACCCGAGCCAGTAGTCTGGGTCCCTCTCAGGGACGCATGGGTGGCCCTAAGGATATCGAGGCTGCCTCCATTTCCCTTCCTATCCTTAGTTATCCATTGCTGTGTAACAAATCGTCACCAAATTTAGCATCTTCATACAGAAAACACTTATTACCCCACGTGGCTTCTGAATATTAGGAATTGGGAACTGGGGAGTGGGTTAGTCAGGTGATGAGGCCTCTGCGTCTCTCAGGAGGTTGCGGTCGAGATGTCAGTGGGGGCTGCAGGCTTCTGAGGCCTTGGCGGGGCCAAGGCATCCTCTTCCAGGACGGGCACTCGCATGGCTGTTGGTTGGCGGCCTCAGGTCCTCCCCACATGGGCCTCTCTCCACGGGCTGCTTGAGGGTCCTCCCAACATGGCGGCTGGTTTCCCCCAGAGAGAGCGATCCGAGGCAGAGAGCAGGGAGGAGGCCCAAACGCATTGCATGACCTAGTCCTGGAAGTCACACAGCATCTCCTCCACCACCTTCTATTCGTGAGAAGTGAGTCACGATTTCCAGCCCACACTCAAGGAGAGGTGAATGACGCTCCAGCTCTCAGAGGAAGGAGTGTCCGAGAATCTGTGAACACGCTTTAAAACCCCACCCCTCCCGACCTGTGGGGTCCCTTGCCCTAATTGTTTTTTCCCTGGCCAAGCAGCTGTTGAACTCCCTTCTGGATGGGTCTCCCTGGGCCTCCATTCTCCTCCGCCTCAGACTTCATCCTTTCTGCCTCAGAGTGACGGACTGCCACTTGCTTTGGAATTGATAACACCCACTGGGCCTTTTCCTTAGGAAGTGCTCCTTCTATCAGAGGGTCCAATTATACAAGAGGGGCGTCTGAGAACCAGGGCTTGAGAGAGACAGGAGGACTGAGACAGACAGGTGGATGAACGAGGCTGGCCCAGCTCCAGGATTTCAGTGGGGTCCAGGCACCAAGATGCCCACTTAGTTCAAGCTGCTCTTGCTGCAGCTGCCCAGGAGACGATGGGGATATTGCTACCCCAAGTAGCCAGGGTGTGTGGAGGCACGAGTCTGGGTGGGTCTGTCTCTCCAGCTGGCCGCCAGGAGTCCAGAGTGAAGATGTGCGCTGACAGCTCCCATTCGTTCTGCCTCGCGTGGCCTGTGTTTTGCAGGCTGCCCCCCGAGGAGCCCTCGTGGTTCTGGAGAATGCCAGAGGCCGCCGTGGGCAAGAGGGCTGAGCAGGGCTGGTCCTACACCCGTCCCTCCGTACCCATCCCCTGGAACCGGAGCAAGCAACGCCCCTTTCATCTGTTTACACGAGTGTCTACTGAGAGTCCTTTTTAGGAAACGATTCCATGGCTCTAAAAAAAAGTTGAAAACCTTGCAGTCCCTGGATTTTTTTTTTGTTTGTTTTAGGGGAGGGAATTTTTTACTTGGCTGGGTATGTGACCTCGGTTTTGCCATCTTCCAAAGGGATACGAGAGTCCACGCCCCCTCCCCTTGCTCCAGCTTCTCTCAAGGGACATAGAGACATCCTTCCTGGGGTGTTTCCTGGAATAAAGGGGCTGGATTCTGGGGCTGTGTTTGGCTCATGGCTCTAAACAGGGAGGAGCAAGAGAGTGGCTTGGGGTGGGAGGACCACTGGATGGAGGGGTGTCAACCATGTGCTGACAGTGTGTACAGCGGTGTGAATATGGACATGGTGTCTGGGTGTGTGTGTGAAGCATGCCATGTGCTGATGGTGTGTACAATGGTGTGAATATGGACATGGTGTCTGGGTGTGTGTGTGAAGCATGCCATGTGCCGATGGTGTGTACGGTGGTGTGAATATGGACATGGCGTCTGGGTGTGTGTGTGAAGCATGCCATGTGCTGATGGTGTGTACGGCGGTGTGAATATGGACATGGTGTCTGGGTGTGTGTGTGAAGCATGCCATGTGCTGATGGTGTGTACGGCGGTGTGAATATGGACATGGTGTCTGGGTGTGTGTGTGAAGCATGCCATGTGCTGATGGTGTGTACAGCGGTGTGAATATGGACATGGTGTGTCTGTGTGGGCAGGTGTATGGGGTGTAAGACATCAGCTGGATGAAGGCAGGTGGGTGGTCCCTGGGGGTTCTGGTCCCCAGAGCCCTCCCATCCCCTGGGTCTCCACGCCGGGTGAGTCTCCCTGTCCCTGGGGTCTCCAGGGTGGGACCTGCCCTGGCCTGACAGCAGCCTCCCCCAGGGGTTACCTGTATGCCGGGCTGGAGTTCGGCGCCGAGTGCTACTGCGGCCACAAGATCCAGGCGACAAACGTGAGCGAGGCTGAGTGCGACATGGAGTGCAAGGGCGAGCGGGGCAGCGTGTGCGGTGGCGCCAACCGCCTGTCCGTCTACCGGCTGCAGCTGGCCCAGGAGTCGGCCCGCAGGTGTACGTGAGTCGGCCCCTCTCTGCAGCTCCTCCCTTGGCCTGCTGGCCATGACCCTCGCCCACCTGCATGTCTGCCCTGCACCTTCCATGGCTCCCCATCCCTCCAAGCCCTTGGCTGCCCTCCAAGGCCGCCACAGCCCTGCCCCAGCCTCGCCCCCCACTCTACCCCTCACAGGGACTTTTGCTCCAGCTACTTCGACTGCTTCCACGTGCTCTCTGCTCTCCCTCCCCTCCTGAGCTGCCTTCTGGGCCCGTGCACCCCTCTTTCTCACCCGTCTTCCACCTTGACAAACCAACCTAGAGCCTGATTTTCTGAAAGCAGGTTGTCTCTAATGAGGATGATGGGGGTGACAATGACAATGACAACAGCAAACACTCCTTCCTTTTCTAAGTGCGTTATATGGAATAGCACGTGCAAACCTCACAGTGACCCTTGAAATGGACACTATTCTTCCTCTGCTCCCATTTTACCAATGGGGAAACTGAGGCTCGGTGTCACACAGCTTGTAAGCAGCCGAGGGTTCAAGCCAACTGCAGAGCTCACCTCTTGAATGCTCCCATGGAGAGAATTTACCCCTCACTTCTCAGGGATTCAAGCTTGTTGGAAAAAACCTTCAATTTCCAAACTGAGGGAGGGACAGGCATGAACAGGAGAGGATAGGAGCTGGCCCCTCTTCTGTGGACACTGTTCCATTGTCCCCTCTCTGGGTGTCAAATAGCAGTTAATCTCTGTTTAGGGGGAATCTGCTGTGTGCCTGGCACTCTGCTGAGCCCACCGCAGGCCCGATCTCATTTACCGTCACTACTGCCTTCCACGTGGTTACCATTGTTAATTATCTCCATTTTACAGTGAGGAAACTGAGGCTTAATGAATTCAAGTAAACCCGCCCAATGTCACACAGTCTAATTAAAGGTGACCCTCTGACCTACAGAAAGAGCTAATGGGCCTTGACGAAAGATGGAGGCTTGGGTTTCTCCTGGTTACCCTTCTGACGCAGTCCAGAAGCAGGAACAGGAATCCACAGCCACATCACTAACCCTTGGCCCAGCGCTTCCCAAATTTGAATGTGCCAGTGAACCCCGTGTGGATCTTGTTAAAATGCAGATTCTGATTCAGCTGGTCGGGGTGAGATTCTGCGTTTCTATGGAGCTCCCAGGTGATGCTTGGATGCTGGTCCGTGGACCACACTTTGAACAATAAGGCCTTAGACCTCAGCCAAGCTGACAAGCCCCACCCAGGATGTAGGCCTGCCCGCACAGGTGGATTTGGCAGAATGTTAACGCCTGTCTGTAGGCAAGGAGACGCCTCTTCCATGCAAGTGTCATTGTTTATAAAAATTCATTGTCAGTTTGCTTGATAATGTTCTGTTTTCCAAATCCCGAGTTTTGGGAACCCCGTTCAAGATTTGCTCTGCAATGGGGTCAAACACGTTGACCCTTTGCAAAGGGGCTGGTTTCTACAAACGGGTGCACCATCTACCTCCCCAGGTCACCCCAGTTCACCCGGGTCTGAAGGCCTGGCTGGCAGAGGGCAGAGGTGCTGTGTGAAATCCAGGCTGGAGGATGTCCACACAGCAAGTTTCTGGTTTGGCCATTAACATAGTGAGGTTTTAATTTGACAGCAGATTTATCATCCTCACCAGGGATCCCTTTACGCCAATATTTATGTTATTTTGATGGTGACTTTCATCATTGGAAGAGATGGCCTTAGAGTAATGGGTATGCAGAGGGAAAGCAACTGCCACTGAAACGTCTAGTGGATGAGATAATAAGAATTGAGCTGTGTACGTCGTTAGCCAGATATTAGCCAAAACTCCTTCTGGTTCATATTAAGATTGGCTGGGTAATCTGGACATTCTCTCTCTCGTGTGTGTGTGCGCGCGCACACACACACACACACACACACATACTATTATGTGTGATCAATGGTATAGTGTCATTGTCATGGACCATCAAAGATTTTTCGATCAGCTGAAATATACAAGCCTCGATGCACAAAGACCACTGGATTCTGCTATAATAGGGTGTGTTTTCCCCTCGCAGCAGGGGGAGGGCTGGGCGGTTGCTGGAGAGTGGCCCCTGAGGCTGGCAGGAATGTTTCTGCACCTCCCAGCTTGCCCACCTCTGCAGTAGCAAAATTACCTCACTGGCATTTTGTTCCATCTGAGAAGGGAATCTCTGTGCTTATGTCCAAGAAGGGGAACACATTCATTCCTACTGAGAGTGGAGTCCTGGGTTCTCTAAGTGCACCCAAGTTGTTCTGAATCATCACTGAAGAAGGGTTGAAGCTTGGGAACCTTCAGCTGGAGACTAGAAGAAAATCTAAGCCCTATTAACCTCAAGGTTACTATGGCTGAGATAAGATTGGAGGTCACTTGGATAAGGAGGTGGATGGTTGACAATGTGTCACTTTGGGACTCTTGGTGAGCTCCCAGTTGGCAACATGGTATACGGAGAGAACATGGGGACCATTCATTGAACCAAAACCCTTAGTGGCCTCCCACGTGGATTAGGCTCGGAGAGGATGGATGGAGAATAAAGCAGAGCCCCTGCCCTCGAGGAGCTCACCATCTGGTGGAGAAAGAGACTCAGGACCAGTGGAATCTGTTCCAGCATGGGGGGTACGTACAGGGGGCTCTGTTTGCAGGAGCCAAGGGAGCAACATTTACACTGAATCTCATCCTAAGGAGATTTCCAGGAGAAAGGAGGAACATAGACTCCAGCCATGAGCAAAAGAAATCCAGTCCAGCAAATGCCATGTGTTGAATCTCCTGTTGGAAGCACCCTCCTCACTGATGCCCCATTTTACAGTTTTACAAACTGAGGCTCACAGAGCAGGAGTGGTTAAATTGACCAGCCCTCAGGGAGGCTCCACAGAGCAGGGCTGTTTGGTTAGGGCCTTGAGGATGCCTAGGACTTTGCCTGATGTAGAAAAGGAGTCTATCCAGACTCAAGACAAGTCACCAAGGGGTTGGAGAGAAATCTAGGCAAAGGAATAGAGTGTGCAGGAGCCTAGAGGCAATTGCAGGAAACAATAGGCAGGCATGGTTTTCCCAAAGTCACAGTGCTTCTTATGGTCTGAGCACGGCTGGGACCCAGTCTCTGACTTCTAATCTAGGTGCTTCCTTGCTACAGTGCTATAGACCCCTTGACTTCTTGTATTGGATTCTGAGCCCCATCTCCTCTCTTTTGGGGGAATTCCTTGGCTCCAGCTTAACGCCTTCCTTCCCTGACCCCCGATCTCTCCTTCTGCCTTGTTTCCTGACTCTAAGCAACAAGGAATCTCCAGTGTCTCTGCTCCGACCCGGTGGCATCCTTGGCTTCCAGTTCCTGGGATCTGATTTATACACAAATAAATCAGAAAGGGAGGCCTTTCAAGGTACCGGCACATGACACTAGCATGTACTACATCAGGCAGAGAAATGGGAAACACTCCGGGAAACAGGTATGGGGAAACCAGATTCCATTTGTAGAGTCATTAGTTCATATCAACACGGTGTCCTAATTATGTTTACCTGAGCAGTGTCACAGAACTCTTAATGATTATGAAGATCCAAAGGAGGCTCATTGGCTCCCAAGCACCTCGCTGGTGAGGCATCCGCCTTGCGTAGGGAGCCATCCTACGTGTTTCTGAGGCGATGGAATTCTCCCACAGTAATGAAGGCATTAAAAGCTTGGCAGAGCAAAGGTCTGAAGGCACCCTGCTATTCTGCCTTGACTCAGGCTCTCGGTCACATGGACTCTTTGCCCTTGTTACAAAAGAACCGAGAAATGAACTTCCTTCTTGCTTGGAATACATTTTTCACAGCAGTTTGCTAAATGTGTCGACAAGTGTAGCTCTCCTCCCAGGGGCAGAGGCCTGCTGGTGATTTGAGAACATTATGGCTTTATAGGATGTTGCAAGAAATTTCATTTGCCTGAAAGATTCTTGCAAGATCTGCGTCTCAAGGTTCATTAGACCCGCACTGAACGCGTACAAGTCATCCGGAGGGTGGCTGTCCATGGTTCTGACCTTCCTTTAGGGCCGCCGAGCCCCCAGGACTGCAGCCAGGCCTCTCCCAGGGTTCAGCACTTTTCCTCTTGTTTTTTCTTCTCTATCTTGTTCAAAGTATTATGAAGCTTACATTATCACTGAAAAAAAAATACATCCTTGATTCATGCTTCACAATTTACATAGTGGATTTTGTGTACTGCTATCTGGCCATTTTTTGTCTTGGAAAGTTAGAAGAGGAGTTTTGTGCGATACTTGTGTTTCATGCTCACAGATGCTCCATTCTAACCACTTCTGCTGGAGGGGAGCCTCCAATGATGGTGAAAAGTCTCATTGGACGGACAGACCACGTCTAGCTCCTTCTCTGCTGGGCCTAGAGGCCTCTCCTTTCCCTTGATACATGCCTGGGATCCCTGAATTTCATAATTCATATGGGCCTTCATGAGTTCTGCTGTGTAGGGCCAAGAAATGATAGCTAGAAAATTTTCCTTCTGCTACATGATGGTGGGGGAGAATTGGTTTACTCTTTTCCCCTAAACAAAATCCAGGAAGGCTATGGGAGCAATGTAGCTTTTGAAATCAGGCAGACACGGTTTCTAGCCCAACTCTGTCACTTACTCACTGGGTTGACTTTGGCCAGCCACTTGTTTTCTGAGCCTCAAGTGCTTCATCTGTAAAATGGGGACAATTCCAACCTTTAAAGACTGCCATGACCACCAAGTGAGATAAAATCGAGAGAGCACGTGACACAGTGCCTGTTACAGAGTACCTGTGATGCTCCCTTCTTCCAAAAATCAACACTCGTCAGTTGACTCTGCGCAGCACCCAGTTCAAGCTACTGGAAATTCCAACAGCCTTTGGTGATGCCTAAAAATAGCTGGTTTGAATTCTCCTCGGAGAGTTAGGCTTTTTGTGTGATTCAATCTGTCTTTGATTCTAGGGAGCCGTTAGCAGCTCCCAGCTCACTGCCTTTCCTCCTCGCCGGCATCTTTAATGCAGTGGAGCTTGGCCTAATTACCTGGGGGGGTGGTGGCCTCTTTCAAACCAAGGAGAACTCTTCCACGCCTGGCTTTAAGCTGATGCCTGGTGACATTTACCTCATTTTTGTGAAGCCCCAGAACAAAGAGATGACAGGACTTCACAGATACTTGTAGCTGGTTCCGGGCTGTTCTTCCTCTGCCCCCAGCAAAGAGAGTTGATGAACAGTTGCTCTGCTCACCTCTTGCTAGTAAAAACCCCAAGCTGCTGAGGTCGTGCACCCTCCCAGCTGGCCTGGCAATGAAGAGCTGACATTATCAGAATGTGGGACATGGGCCTTTGTGATCCTTGGACCCCTACTGTGGGGCCTGAGAGGGTTTCTGGGAAATTCAGGTGGCTGGCATGGGGTCTCTGGGGCCCAATCACGTTAGGATGGGGCAGGCCTCCCGCAGAATAGCAGAGAGGTGGGAAACTAGGGTGCCATGTCAGACAAGATTGGGGCCAGATCCCAACTCTGCTCCTTACTTGCCGTGTGACCTTGAAGAGCAATCGAATCTTGTTACATCTCAAGATCTCTGCCGGCAAAACAGGATAATAGTATGGGTTGCTGTGAAGGTTAATTGAGAAACAATAAATGTAACACACTTAGCATTGATGACAGACAGTAAATCGCTGATGTTATTTCCGTTGTCGTCATTCTTTAGTAAGCGTTAGTCAGTAGGAAGACACTACCCAGGGTTGTGGCTATTGTCCATGGGCTGTGCACTGCACAACTCCAGGGGGCGCCATTCTCACAGACTATGGTCTGTGAAGAGCAGTGGGCTTGAGCTCCATGCTGGATTTCCCTGTGGATTAAACACACCCCAAGATCCAAGATGTTGTAAGTTGGGCTCCCCCAGAGACAAGGATGTAAGCCTTGGTTTGCTTGGGAGGTGACCCCAGGGTGCACCTGTAGGGGAGTGGAGTAGGGGGGCAGGGAAGAGAAGGAGCCAATACAAGCTCCTTTACAAAGAAGGTCATCACTGAGGACGGCTGAAGCTTAATCCCACTGGGGAACCCTGGGAGATGGTGGAGAATGTGCTTCAGAGGTGTCCTGCCAGAAGGGCAGGAAGCTGCAGTATTCATCCTCCCGCCGTCTCCCATCGTAGGCTGAGGGTGGCTCCCAGGGAGATTAACTCTTTGTAAGGTCCAGCCTGTCCCTCACAGGCCCCAAGGCAGCATCCTGGGTATTTACTGTAGGTCACTGTCAGCCTAGGCTTGAATGGTGAGTGCCAGGAGCATCTTCATGGGGCACTGACAGCTCCTGCCATGTAGGATCTCACCACCCTTCACATATCACAGACAAGTGATGGAGAAAGGAGCAAGAAGAGACATTCACTGAGTCCTAGTTAGGTCTCGGGCCCTGTAAATGCCATCGCATGGACTCCCAGCCCAACCATGCAGGGCAGATATGAAGATCCCCATTTACAGATGAGGAAACCAAGCCTCAGGAAGTGAAGACATTTGCCCAAGGACACGTGGCTAAGGAAGTGGCTGAGCCAGGTCTGTCTGAATTTCAAGCCTTTTCCCTTCCTGCTGGACACCAGAGCTTTTTGCAAAGAGGAAGGCATCTGCCTATTGCCATGGAAATCCAAAATTCTTTGTATCACAAAAGAGTGTTAGGAAGGTTGAGGCTAGTGAGAGGATTAGATGTCTTGGCTACTGTGCATATTCTCAGTATTCTGATCACCAAGCCACAACAGAGAGCAACCTGCAGAGAGCGATGACCCCCAAGCCGATCCCCAGATCTCTGGGGGGTCCAACCTTCCTGCTGGACATCACGAAGGCCTCTGTGACCATGTGGTTTCCCCCCAAAGGCAGACTGGGCAAGACTGTGAGGAGACCCCACATCCAACAGGTTAACTGCTCCTGGAACTGACTTCCCAAGCCCGTTCCTCTCCCCGCACACCTTGACCAGAGAGACTCACGGCAATAGCTCCTGATCGCTCTCTGGCCCTTCAAGGCCTCTGACAACCTCACCTTCTTTGGTGTTCAGGGCATTGACCTCAGCCCTCCTCTCTAAGCTCAGAGGGTCAGGGACTCGTTAGCAGATGCTTAAATGTCAAAGCGAGACCAAGCTCAGCGGAGCTGGGCTTACAGAGTCTGCCTTCCCCTTCCCACCCTTGCAGTCTGGCCTCCTGATGTCCAGCAGGCAGGAGAAAATCACGTGGAAAGAGGCCAAGGAAGGATTCGACTCTCTCCTCCTCCTCTCTTCCGGTTAAGCCTAAGGGCAGGTGGCACGGAGACAGACAGATCCACAGGCCCTTGCCTGCCCCTTCCACTGTACTCACAGCTCACCAGCCTCATGAATTCATGTTCATCTCTGAATGGTCCACCCAATATTCATGCCTCCCTTTTAGAGAAGAGAACACTGAGGCTCCAGAAGGAGAGGAAACTTGCCTAAGGCCAATGGTGAGAAAGAGCAGAGCTGCCTGTGGGCATTTGACTGGTGAAGACACTGCGTTCCGGGGAGGAGAAGCCAAGGCGGGACTGGAGTTCTCGTGTCTGCTGGCTGCTTTGCGATGTCTCTGACATTCTTGGGTGGCCTTCTCCTCTATCCTCCCAGTACCCAGGGCACTCTTTCATTGTGGCCCTTATTATTATTAATGTATTCATGTCAGTGTTAATAATACTGATAATCGTGGGCAATTATTGACTGTCTACAATGGGCCCAACCCCGGGACGGATGCCTCATGCTTTTGTAGCTCAGTCTTGGGGTGTGTGCACAGAAGGTGGGTAGGAATTACCCAAAAGGGAAGAGGGGTCCCAGGCAGCTGCCATGGTGAGGGCGAGGAGGGAGGGGAGGGGAGGTACATAGTGTGATGGGTGAATACAAATAGTTTGATAGTGTTGGATGGTGAAAGGGGTGAGGGCTGGGGGTGTGAGGCAGGAGGCGCAGCCAGGACTGGACCCGGCAAAGCCCCTGGAATGCCCTTCTGAGAACTGTGCACATTATCCTGCAGGCAATGGGCAGGGGGCCACAATTAAATATATGTATTAAGAGACTTATTTAAGGAATTGGCTCATGCAATTGTGGAAGCTGGGAAGCCTGAAAGCTGTAGGGCAGGCCAGCAGGCTGGAAACTCAGGCAAGATTTAATGCTGTAGTCTTGAAGCAGAATTCTTTCCTCTCTGGGAAACCCCAGCTTTCGCTCTTCAGGCCTTCACCTGATTGGATGAGGCCCACCCATATTATCAAGGGTAATCTCCTTTAAGTCTCCTTAAAGTCAACTAATTGTAGATATTAATCACACCTACAAAATGCCTTCACAGCAACACCTAGACCAACATTTGACCAAACAACTGGGCACCATAGCCTGGCAAGTTGATACAAAACTCAGAGATAATCATGGTTGTTAACATGTTGGTGTATGTCTCTCTAGAGATTTATATTGGGAGATAACTTTTGTATAAAACTGACATTTTATAATACGTGGAGTTTATATGCTCAGTTTTTATTTAACATCGTATCTTGAACACATCTTCAGCTCTCCACAGTAACCTTGCACACCATTATTTTTGACAGGGGCGTAGAATCCCATTGTGTTGACATTCTGTGCTTTATTTGTCCAATACTTCTTTGATGGGCACCTGGGTTGCTTCCAGTCTCTCACGTGTTAATTTAAATGAATGCTGCAATGAGCATCCTTATTGATAAACCTTTGTGTCCCTCTGCAGTGGATGCGATGGGTGCCCACCCAATTCCCCTTTTCTGCAGCGACTGTTGGTGGCCAGTGGTCACATCTGCCCTTTGTGTGAAAAATGACCCTTGGCCCAACGGGAGCAGCCTCTCCCTGGACGTTATGTCCCACAGCCAATAACTGACAGACATTGGGGAGGGGGTCACACAGGGCCAAACCCCTTTCCTTAAAGTGATGCCAACCTTGTGGTGCAATTTACACTCCAGGCTGGAGGCGGGCCCCCGCTGAGGTCTCCTGCTTGCTTAGCTCCGCCCCTGCCCTGTCAGGCTTTCCCCTCTTCCTGAGAGCACACCCTCTGCAGAACGCTGTCTCAGGTTCTGCTTCCAGGAAACCAGCCTAAGACAACTCCTCTGGGTATTTTGTGGAGGGGCGACTTCTATGGATGGGAGAGCAGTGCCTCCAAATTTTCTATTGTGCAACTGGGATATTTCCAGATGAGGTTATCCTAATGGAAGTCCCTCCGACAGATCAGTCCCTTCTAGCCTGCAGGTGCTCAGCCCGGAGTGAGCAGAGACTCCTGTGGCCCAGAGTGTCCCCCTAATGTCCAGGACAATGGGAGGACAAGGGGCACCTTGGTGCTGTGAGGAGTGACAGGACAGCCCTGGGCCTTTGTCTTTCTTCAATGCTCAAACGCTCAGCCCTCTCCTGACGAGACCATGAGAACCCTCCACGGCATGTCATTTCCCTGAATGGGGAGCTGTCACCGTTGATAATAAGGAAGCAAGACATAGGAATGCTGACCAAGAAAAGGGGATGATGTGGCCCGGAAAGAACATCTAGTGACCTGGATGGTTGACAAAGATGCCAGGGTTGAGCAGACCATTCTTTGAATTATCCAGCTCATGAGTCTCCACTTTGGTTCATTGTGTGACCTTGGACAAGACTCTTGCCCTCTCTGGGCTTCAACTTGCAAGTGCTTCCTTCAGAAGGTGGTTCTCCCAGCCTAGCTCTGACTGTTCCTTCTCCCTCTGGCTCTCCAGATGGAAGTGCCGTCTTCCGAGGCTGCTTCCGCAGACCCAACAACCTCTCCCTGGCCTTGCCTGTGACGGCCGCCATGCCGAACATGTCCGTGGACAAGTGCGTGGACCTCTGCACAGAGAAGGTGAGCCCAGGGTCCTGCTCACAGAACTCCAGGGAGGGGTGGGGTGGAACCGCTGAAAGAATGGGATGCTTGTCTGGAGAAGCCATTGCCGGGATGAGGGAGGTCATCACTGTGATCTGTGACGTGGGAGAGGGATGCGACCGTTTCCCGTGGATCTAAGGCGCAGGAGTTACACAGGGTCAATTGCTTTCCCTTTGAGGCAGTATGTAAGGAATTTTCAGGGATTAAGGTAACATTTGAATGGGGCCTAGAAGCATGAGTAGAAGATTGTGAGTAAGGACAAGGACAATCCCACCTTGGGACAGAGTGAGTTCCCCATCACTGGAGGTGTGCAAGCAGAGGCAGGGCAGGCGTGGCGTCCAGAACTTCTGGCATGGAATAGCAGTTGGACTGGCTCATCTATGGGTCCTTTCTCAGCCTGAGATCCTTGATGGCTGACTGTTTACCCTTCCTCCCTAGCCAGACAGTGAACTCCACAAGATTGGGGGCTGTGCCTTAAATATTTTGTGCCCCCTCAATACCCAGCACAGAGCTAGGCACATTACTGGCACTCAGTGATGTCTGAGGAGCTCCATCCTTCATCCAAGACGAGCTAATGGCACGAGGGTCCAATCCCCGCCCACCACAAGAAGGCGGTTGCCCATTTCTTTCATCCACTCAGCCAGCATTTAATGAGAACCTCCTTTGTGCCAGACCCTGTGCTCCGTGCTGGGGATGCAAAGTCAACAAGATATGGTCTGTATCCTCAAGGACACCGGCATTTGCTGGGGGCCTGCCTTGTGGCTCCTCCTGGGTGCTCAGCCTGCACCCCAACACCTGAACGCCCCCACCCGCTCTGAGTCATCCTGCTTGGCCGTTCCTCTCATTGAGGCTTAGAATCCCTGGAGGATCCCTCAGGAAGACGGAGAGGCTGCAGCATCCCAGAGGCTGCTGCTTCCTGAGCACGTCCTCTGTGCAGCCCTCCGCGCCACGGGTCACACAGCTTACTTTTCACTGCAAGGCTAGGAGTTGGGAATTCTCATCCCCATCTCACAGATGACAAAATCAAGGCTCCGACAGCAGAGTCTCTCACCCAAACTCGCAGGATAGGCAAGCGGCAGAGCTGGGACTGACTCCAAATCTATGCTCTTAATTTCTGAGTCACCCTAGAGACCCCACAGAGAGGCTTCCAAGAGCCATTCCAGGGCAGCCAGGTGACCTCAAGTCATCAAGCATTTCCTGAGTGCTTGCTCTGCTCCTAAGAGGCGTCCTGGAAGGCTGGTGAGATTAAAGGAAGTTTGACCATCATTTGGTCCCCCTCTCTCGGGCAGGAATCCCCCCATGGCATCCCCTCCAGGTGGACATTCCTCACTCTCTGAGGCCCCTGAGGGCCTTGGAGGAACCTACAGATCAGCTGGAGGTGGGGGACAAACACACACGCGACAGCGAGGTCAAGGGGCAAACCAGTGTAAGAAAGGGTGGAGCTGTACACAGGACTGGAAGGAAGTGAAGGTGTGTGGGTGGGCAGGAGGAGGAAGAGGAGAGGAAGGCCCCCCTGAAAACTTCCGTCTTCCAGTTTATTCTGATCCCCTAGGGGCCAAAGGAGTGAAACTGAGGGGATTACTAGGCAGGGGCACAGAGTGGCTTGTGCCAAGTGGCAGAGGGTCTGAGGCTTACAGTGTCAGAGAAGGCTCCCATATGTGTCACCACTTAGAAAACGTCCTCAGTCATGGCCCAGGCTGACCCACCTGAGTCTCGGCTTCTCTCTCTGCTCTGCAGCGAGGAGCTACAGTTCATACTCATTATCTGTTAGGAAAGAAACCAAACCCACCGTGGCAAAGCTCACAGATCCAGCCACGTAGGCACGACCTTGGTTTGTTACCAGATTATTCCTGGACCAGCCACCAGGGAGAATTCAGGGCTGTGGGCTCGGAATAGAAGCAGAGTGGACGAGGGACATTCCATTGCCCTCCAGACCTCAGGTCCATCCTGCTCCCATTTGGCTGTTCCATAGGACACATAAACCAATCGCGAGCAGCTCTGCCAACCAAGAATGTGCATACATGTAGGTATCAATATCCTCCTCAGCTTCAAAGAACGAAGTCACACAGCTTTTCCCAGAGCGTGGGCTTCATATCGCCATCAGACCTGGGGGCATTTGCCATGGCACGATGTGTGACCGGGAGAAAGGCATTTCTTCTTCAGTTTTCTTTCAAGTCCTCCAGGAGAAAGATTCATCTCAGTGCTAAAGTGTCTCTCCCACCTCTCTACCCTCAATTCATCTCCCTTTTGCAGGAAAAATGGACCCAACCCCAGGCTCCGAGTCTTGGCAGGCAGAGTGCCTGGTTAGAATTTAATGACGTTGGTTTCTACAGTATTTGCCGTTACCGTATGGAAATGTACGGAAGTGCTGGTTCTCCACAAGCACTACTTTGGGGAGTGATATCAAGTTCCCTTTAAAATTTAAGTTTCAAAAAGGCGAGTTGACTTAAAGGAAATGAATAAATAATAGTACAGGAAAACAGAAAAGAAAATGGTAACTAAGTGAGGCAATGGATAGGTTGATTAGCTCGATTGTGGAGATTCATTCACAGTGCATACATATATCAAAACATCAAGCTGTGCACCTTAAATATATGCAACTTTTATTTGTCAATTAGACTTCAATAAAGCTGGAAAATATAAAAGCACAGGGTGTACATGGATGGGGCAAAATCATAGAAGTAGGGTTCACTCATGAAGTCTGGGGACCCCAGGTCTGGGAGAGCGATGGAGAAGGGAATAAGGGGATGCGTTTGGAGTCCGGGCAGTCCCAGGATGTAGTGACTCTCTTCCTGTCCCACTCTGTCCCCAGGAGTACCCGCTGGCGGCCCTTGCGGGCACTGCCTGCCACTGTGGGTTCCCCACCACGCGATTTCCCCTCCACGAGAGAGAGGATGAGCAGCTCTGTGCCCAGAAGTGCAGCGCAGAGGAGTTCGAGAGCTGTGGGACCCCCAGTTACTTCATCGTGTACCAGACGCAGGTCCAAGGTGAGCCAGCCTCCCCCAGATGGTCTCCCGATGGCCTCCCTCCCAGAGGTGCCCTGGTCAGTCCATTCCATACAGCGCCTACTGTGCATGCCAGAGGGCAGAGGGCAGGCCTGGTGAACTTGGCTAGATTAGAGATCCTGGACGGGCAACATGGAGGGCCCCAGGCCAGGGGCAGGGGGTTCTAAAGACCCTCATCTCCATCCCTCATACTGAGGACCCCCTTGGTGGCTCTTTCCGTATAATGGAGGCAGCGAGGCTGAGTGGGAAGACATCGGGCTGGGAGTGGGAGGCCTGGGGTCTCCAACATTGATGCCCTGCATAATCCTGGACAAGTCGCTTCCCTTTCTGGTCTCAGTTTCTCCATCTGTAAAACACAGCTGTCGATTGTTGATCTCCAAAGACCCTTCCAGTTCTAGGCTTCTGGAAATCGGTCTATAGTCTCTTCTTCTCTTTCTCTGGCCACTCCTCCTTTCCTCCTCTAGCCTTCCTTTTCTAATGGAACCCACACTTAGTGTAGATCTCCTCTTCCGTCTCTTGGGACTGTGATGATGACGATGATGATGATGGTGGTGATGGTGGTGGTGGAGCTGGGGTTGCCGGTGGCACTCAGGGTTTCTCAAGGCCGTTCTTTGTGCTAGACTCAGGGTCAAGTCCTTCGTTTGCGTTTTCTTGCTGAATCCCCTCAGCTCTCCTCTGAAGCGGGAACCGTCCTTGTGCCCACTTCACAGGAAGGGAAACTGAGACTTAGAGCAGTTAAGGAACTTGCCTGAGGTCATGCCATTTATAAAATTTCTGGATGGAAACCTTTTCTCCTGACTGAGGCGTCACAGAAGGCGAGTGACACCTGGAGAGGTCCCGTGCTGGGACACTCAGCCCAAAGGAAATCCCTGAAGGGCTCCCAATATCTGAGCACGCTGACCACCTACTATGCACCAGTCTTATGCCAAGCCTCATCTCGTGTAAGGATGTGAAGCCCACAGTAAGCCTACGATCAGGGCAATATCATCCCCGTTTTACAGGGTGGGAGAAGCAACACCCAGAGGGATTCAGAAGTGGCCACAATTACACATCTACAAGACTGATTTGCTTTCATGTCTCTGACTCCGAAGTGCCAGTAGAAACCTTTGCCCACAGTGGGAAGAACCCTCCCCACACCCCTTGCAGCCTGGAGAGCCAACTAAACACCACTGGGCTAGACCGCCTCTTCATCTCCCAAGAACCAGGCCATGACGTATGGTTGGGCAGGTTGGGCACTGCACAGGCCAAACCTACAGGAACGTGTTTAGCAAGCGTGGCCCTGGGCTGAGTTTCCACTCCAGCGAGGAAGCATGAGCATTTGCTGGTTTTCGGGAAGTGTTGCTGAGTCTGTGCCAATCTGCGCTGCCCCAGCCTGCGGGGAGGGTCACACACAGATTAATTATCCCATGACCATGAACGGCTCAGATGTGGGCGAAACAGACGCTGGAGCCTTCACCACAGCAGACAAAGAGCCCTAATTGATGACTTTGCTCCTTCCCAGTGTCCCGCCCCCGGGCCACGACTGCTCTTCAATTTTTCCATGTCCTGCTTGCAGTCCCTACATGCTGGGGAGGTTAGAGGCTACATGCTGGTCAGGCTGCCTAGAGCCTGGTCCACCATGGCTGGCATTTATTAAGCACCTACTATGTGCCAAGTCCTGATGCTCCTGCCGGGAACCAAATAATTATTGAGCACCTACTGTGTGCCAGGTACTGTCTAAGCCCTTTAGGCTGAATTAACTCGTCGAGTCCACACAACAGTCCAATGACACAGGTGCTGTTATTATTACCATTTGACAAATGAGGCAACTCGGCACAGAGAGGTTGAGTACCTTGGCCAGAGTCACACAGCTGGGACAGGGCAGAGCTGGGATTCGAACCCCAGGCAATCTGGGTCCTGCGCTCTTAACCACAGCTTCTCGACATCCATTGCAAATACTTCACACACATTATCCATTTAATCCCGTAAGGTTTATTAGCCCCATTCTGCAGGTAGGAAACCGAGGTTCAGAGAGGTGAAGAGCCTTGTTCAATGTCACACAGCTTGGCCATGACAACTCTGGATGGAAAGCCAGGTCTGTCTGACTCCAAAGCTATAGACAATACCGCCTCCAGCATCTGCTCCGATTTATGGAGCTTAAGCACAAATAAACTTTCCTTTTAGTGCTGAAAAAACATCCTTTACGTCAAAATTGGTCTTGGCCTCCCAGGAAGTCTTTGAATGGAGAATTCTGTTTTCTGAGGAAATTGAGAGGCCAAGTTCTTTCTCCCTCCCAACATGTTACTGTGAAAAAATGTCAAACCTCCAGAAAAAATTGAAAGAATGACCCAGTGCACACCATATACTCAGCCCATAGACTGCCCGTTGGCCAGCCTCTGTTATGTTTACCACACACCCCTCTCCGTTTCTCCATCCCACCATCCTTCTTATTTTCTGCAGCATTTCAAAGCAAGTTGCAAACATCGTTACCCTTTGGCGTGCATATCATAAATGATAATTCAATATTTGCATTTGATATTTTGAAGTAACATTGACATAGAGCGAAATGTACAAATTTGAAGTGTACTATTTCATGACACCCGGGTGAGCCCCACCCCTATCGAAATATAAAACATAACATACCAGAAAGGTCTCCATCTAGGCTCTTTTTTGCAGTGTGTTCCATGAAAACCATTCCCAGACCAAACAAAGACCGGGTTTATTTTTCCCAAAGTCTGCTCTCCTCGGAACAGATTAAGCGTGGCATGCTGGGAGACCGGAGTTGGGCCTCTGTCTGTAGCAACAATATAATTGATTGACACTGACGGTGCATGAGTCCTGTGCTGACACTCACCGTGCCTCCTCCACTTGACCCTCCTAACAACCCCGGGACGTGATCGCTGTCCACAGTCCCATTTTGCAGATGAGGAAACTGAGGCTCAGATCCACCATTTTTCCGAGGTCACCCAGCACACAGGTGGCAGAATTGGAATTTAACTGGAGGACTTCAGACTTTTCCCTGGGAGGGCTGGTGTGAGAATTCAGCGCAGGTCCTGGGAAGATTTCAATAGCGGCAGGTAATGCAGCACAGGAAAGAGCCCTGTAAAGTCTTGGAAGGAATTAGGAGAAGGGGGTGTGACAGGCGGTCTTAGAGGGTGCTGCGTGGTCAGGCGAGATGAGGCTGGGCTGAACACTGGGTGGTCACTGGCGACTTTAGCAGGAGCTGGTGCGGTGCAGGGCGGAGCCCAGAGAGGTGAGAGTTGGGAGCCAGGAGAAGGAGGAAACGGAAAGGGGTGTGGACACGTGTGCCAGGAGGGTGGCTGAATGGGGTGAGGGCAGAGAGGGCTGCTGGAGGGAGATGTTGTAAGCGATGGAGCTCTTTGTTCATGTTTGAATGCTAATGAGATGGAGCCCACTGAGAGACAGGGAAGATGCAGGGGGCATGGATGGAGCAAGGAGCTTAGGGAGGAGGAAGGAGGTGGTAGGAAGCCACAAGAGCAGGGGGCGGCCCCTTCCTCCTAGAAGTGGGAGGGGAGGAGAAGAGGATGTGCAGAGCAGCCTCGTGAGCTCAGGGGGCAGGAGATCCAGGGAGGGGAGGGAGGTCTGCCTGCCGTCCCTTCACGGGAAATAAGGGCTGGGGTCATCGGCCCAGAGAGGAGAAGACGGGTTGGGATTGAAAACCCAGGACTCTCTCTTCCTTTTCCACTGCGGAGCTCGCTCTGCTGGGCCTTCCCTCAGCTTCCCCTACGTGTGCAGGGAGTAGAAGAAATCACCACCGTGCCTTCTCAGCTCCAGGACGGATGCAGTGGGAGGGGCTGAGGCACACGCTTCCCATTAGCTCTGTCCGGAGTGGCATCCTGACGGCTCTGTAAAGCCAGAGAAACAGGAGTATCAGCATGGTACTCACCTGTGCCCACCATTTTCACAGATGGGGATGTCAAGGGCTAGAGAAAAATAGTAACTACCCTCTTGAGCGCTTTGGTGTATTAACATATTACATGCATTATTTCATTTAATCCTTACAAGAGTCCTACAATTTAGATATTGTTGTTCTCCACCCATCTATCCACACACCATTGCATCCATCCTTCCACCCATGCATCCTTCCATCCACCCATCTATCACCCACCCATTCACCCACCCGCCTACCCATCCATCCATCTAGCTACCCATCCACCCACCCACCTACCCATCCATCCATCTAACCACCCATTCAGCCACCCGCCTACCCATCCATCCGTGTAACCACCACCCACCCATCTCCCCATCCATCCGTCTCTCTGAGCAACATATATTACAGTACGCATTACACACAGTAATGGTAGCCCAGGGAGTGCGGGGAGGGAGGGAGGAAGTACCAGTTCTAGAAGCAGTCCACCTGGCAAAGGCAGGTAGGGGGCAGTGAGGCCGAGGGAAGAGCACGCCTGAAGGTGCTGGGGCAGGAAGGAGCAGAGCACATGTGAGGAAGGGAAGGGACACCGGGTGGCCAGCAGGTGCGAGGGTGGGTGGGATGAGCCTGAGAGGGTGCAAGGGCCAGGCCACACAGGGCTTGGAGGCCAAGATAAGAACCTTGCACTGGATCCCATGTAGACGGATGCCCCTTGAGGAAGAAAAGGGGGGGCAGATATGAGAGAGTGACCACTGTGTCAGAGGGGAAACTGAGGCAGGAGAGAAGACTCATGCTCCTAGCAGATTTTGTTGAATTCCTACTATGTGCTCATCCCTTTTCATACATGATCTCATTCAACCCCCACATCAACCCTGTGAGGGAGGAACCCTCTCCCCCCCTTTACAGATGGGGAAGCTGAGGCCCAGAAGGGGTCTCATCATGTGCACCCTGGTCCCTTCCGGACAAGTTATATCTAGCCCTGCCACTGACCCATGTGGGTGCCCTGCCCTTTGCAGACAACCGCTGCATGGACAGAAGGTTCCTCCCAGCCAAGTCCGAGCAGCTCATCGCACTGGCCAGCTTCCCGGGCGCTGGCAACACGTGGGCTCGCCACCTCATCGAGCTGGCCACCGGCTTCTACACTGGCAGCTACTACTTCGACGGTTCTCTCTACAACAAAGGTGAGGAGGTGGAGGGGGGCGGGCGGCTGCCTGGGCTCGGAAGGACCCACTGGGAGGCCATGGGACTACCCCTTCCTGAGCACCTACTGTGTGCCACTCAGCTTGCCCGGGCATGTTTACTGAGACCTACTATGTGCCTGGTACCTTTCCTTCACTTCTATCCCATAAACATTTCTTGAGAAGCATGTGCTGGGTCCCTCACCATCATCCGTTCAATAAGAGAGATGTATCAAGCCCCTACTATGTGCCTGGTACCCTCCCTCCATTTAGAGCACCACAAACCTTCCTTGAGGTACTACTGTGTGCTGGGTACCTCACTACAGACATTATTGACCAGCAACTCTATGCTGTACACAGAGGACATAACTGTGCTCAACATGGGGACATTTCTGGAGGACCCACTATGTGTCAGATGTCTCATCTATACTGAAGTCCGTGATATTTGCTGTGCAGGTTTCCTGAGCACCGCCGTGTTCTGGATGCACCTTCCTAGTTTCCCAACAGGCATGTATGGAGCGCCGACTGTGTACTGGCACTTTGTGTAGGTTATTGCCACAGACGTTCTCTGGCCATTACTACGTGGCGAGAGCTGTGCCCAGTGCTGCATTCACTCTGCACGGTGACCCTGGGAGGCAGGCTGATGACACCACTTCCCAGATGTGAAAACTGAGGCTTGGAGAGGAGAAATAACTTGCCTAAAGTCACACAGATCTTTTTCAATGGGCTGGTCAGAGATTACACCCCAGCGTTCCCCACTTTCAAAGCCCACACTCTTACTACTCCATCACACAGGCAAGAAATCCCTGTAGGTTCTTACTGGGGAACTGGAAATCACGGATGAAATGCCCATTGGGCATGAAGCCTTCTCCCACACGTGGCTGGGGTATCAGGGAAGAGGGACTCTGCCTGTGAGGCAGTTTGAGCCTATATGTGGAGCAGCCCTTGGCTGTGGGTCTTTGTATCTGCAAACCCGATGAGAACCACTTCCTGGCTGTGTGACTTTGAGTAAGTTACTGCACCTCTCTGGTGCTGTGTCATCATGCACAAATTAGAGATAACAGTAGGTAGCTGGTGAGGTTGTTGTGAAGGTTAATGAGTTAATATGTGTAACATGCTTAGCACAAACTAAGTAAGTGTTCAATAAATGTAGGCTGTGAATACTATGGTCTGGGTACCAGGTACTGGCCAGGCGCAGCTTGGTTGACAGAGAGCTGGGTTTTCTCTGAACCCAGTACAGGGAGAGCCAGGAGGCATGTCTGTCTGAGGGTGAGAAGCAGGAGAGAGGCAGAGAGTGAGGGAGAAAAGGCAAGAAGAGTGAAAAGAGGGAGGTGGAAGGATGGAGCCAGCAGGGGTAGGGGGTCAGGGGTCTGCCTAGAGTGCTGACTTTTTGTATATTTATTAATATTTCGTTTTGGCTTAAGTGATCATTTGTCGAGCCCCTTCTACGTACGAGGCGCCAAGCTGTGGGCTTGCATCTTTGTACCAGGATTTAAAGCCAGGCTTGGCTGGCGACGGTATCTCTGCTCCTAACCGCTAGGCTGCACTGCCTTTACGGGAGTTGCTGGGAGGAGCCCAAGCAATTGTGGAATCTCTCTGGCTTGTCCTGGGGCAGCGGCTTGGGAAGCGGGCTCGGAGAGCATCCCATGGCTGGCCCACATCCTAACCTGGCGGTGGCATCAGCCTTACTCATGGAATCTAGATTGTCACAAATAGAAGGGTCCTTCAGGATCATTTAGCCCAGGTCTCCAAAGTGGTCTCATCTCTTGTGTCAGTTCCAATGAATCTCTGCTTTAGGGTGATGTGTTGAGAAGGATTCTGAGGTTCTGTTCTCTCTCAGTAACAAAGTGCCTTAATCCGACAGCGACACCTGTTGAGGGTGTAGAAGGGAGAATGGTGGTCTTCATCCTTGGTATTTACCATCTCTGATCTAGCTCAACCTCCTAACTTCGGAGAAAGGGAAACTGAATCTCAAGGTGGAATCAGGAGAATGAGTTTTCAGTCTGAACTCTGTTACTTATCAGCTGTGGGACCTTGGGCAAGATTCCTCACCTCTCTGAGCTTCAGTTTCCACGTCTATAATAATATGGAGATATCAATACCGAAGTCAGAGATTTGGAAAAAAACATAATAAGATAACGTGTATGAGGCTGTGGTGTAAAATATACACTACTTTTTAAATGACATGTGACCAGGACGGTCAACTATTCAGTCAAAGTCAAGGACGGCTGGTCTCTGACTTTGTTAGCATCACCAAGGGAGATCTCAAAGTCGCGATGCCGGGCTGCTCCCTGGACCGTTCCCGCGAGAGTGTGGGGAGCGGGCCAGGGCGCTGGGATTTCTTAAAAGCTCCCCACGTGATTCCAACGCAAAGTCACAGTGAGACCCTGGCCCTCGGCTGGAGCCCGGCATTCTCACTTCCAGACCCGCAACAGTCAAAAAATTGGTCTTTGCCCTGTGTTTTTTATACTCGAATGTTGGGGGATATCAGGAGTTGATCATTAATGGGGTGAGGTGTCAACTAAAGTTTTAAAAAGAAAGAAAGAAGGAAGGAAGGGAGGGAGGGAGGGAGGAAGGGAAGAGTAGAGAGAAGAAGAAAGGAAGCAAGATCAACCTTCCACGGCGGTCCCTCGGGCTCACCCTGAGTACCTGTCTCCTTCAGTCCCCCTGGGGAAGGCAGGGCTCTGCGCGCTGGTCACAGGCAGCTGAGGCTTTGAGCATGGCTGCCCTTTCCTTAGGGCCTTAAAAATACTTCCCGTGGCCTGAGACCTTGCCGTTAACAACGAGCTCTTTCTGGGAGCCCAGGGCCGGCAGTGGGGTGCAGGCAAAGAGAGGAACCCACCCCCATAGCATCAGTCAATCTGGCTCACCCCCAAGTCCCCCCCCCCCCATTGCTTTCCCACCTGAGAGACACTTAATGAAATCTTCAAACCTGGTCCTGGTCTCGGAGTGGGGGGGCGGGAATGGTGCCAGAGGGAGGGATAAAGCTGTGCCCCATCGGCATTTAATTGTGGCCCCCTGCCCCCTGCCCGCAGGACAACGTGCACAGTTCTCACAAGAGCATTCCAGGCGCTTTGCCGGGTCTAGTCCTGGCTGCGCCTCCTGCCTCACACCCCCAGCCCTCACCCCTTTCACCATCCAACACCATCAAACTATTTGTGTTCACCCATCACGCTATGTACCTCCCCTCCCTCTCCTCGCTCTCTGCCCTCACCATGGCCTCTTCCTGGGACCCCCTCCTCCCATTTGGGTAAGTCCTGTCCACCTTCTGTGCACACACCCCGAGACTGAGCTACAAAAACATGAGGCATCCGTCACAGCACTGGGCCCATTGTAGACAGTCAATAAATGCCCACGATTATTAGCATTATTAACAGTGACATGAGTATATTAATAATAATAAGGGCCATGATGAAGGAGTGCCCTGGGTACTGGGAGGATAGAGGAGAAGAACACCCAAGAATGTCAGAGACATCGCAAAGGGGGCTGTGACCTGAGGCTGGAGGAGCGGGTCTCCAGGTGGATGAGGTAGGATAAGGGCGGGGCGGGGACGAGGTCCCAGGGAGGGGACACAGCGCGTCTGAAGGTCTGGCGTGTTTTGGAATCAGAGGAGCTCCTCATTCCTGGAGTCTGAGGGAGGAACAGAAGCACTTCCACCCGGCGGGGGGGGGGGGGGGGGGGGGAATGGGACACAGCTTTCACCCCTCCCTCTGGGATCGTGTCCCCCTCCCCTCCCCGAACGCTCCAGGGGAGATGGAGGGGCTTTAGGAGAGAATAGTGTGCTGAGATCTGCATGTGTGACATACCGCTCTGGCCACTAAGGTTGGGTGGGGGGACATTTTGGCTGCAGGTGAGTGACAGTGGTGGACAGAAGCACACAGGGAGGGACATTCAGGAGGTCATTGATTAGACGGGGGGACCTGGGTGATGGGCCCAGAGGGGGTGGTTCTTGTAGGATAAGCTGACCCTCCAGCAACCCTCGCTGATTTATTGAAGCCCTTGAGAGTTCCCGCATCCCTGCTCCTAAGCAGCTGGATCACTGGGGGCACGTCCCGCTCCTCCTGAGGCCTCCATCTCCTCCTCCGTCGGATGGGTGAGCCCCCAGGGCCCTCCTAGGACTGAGGAGCTGCCTGACATTTTCTCTCCTCCTCCACTTTCTCTGCAACCTTCTCTTCCCTCTTCCTGGCAACAGCCCACCCTCCCAAGGGGCTGTTGAGTGAAGGAGGGGAGGGAATGAACCAATGAATGAATGAATGGACCCTCCCTCCCAGAATCCAATCGTCTGTCCCACTTGAGTCCTGCCCTCTCTTCCCCATACTCAGGGAGGTTGGCCATTTGCAAAGCATGGTTTTCTGTGTCTGTGTCCACCTACCCGTCTCTTTCTGTCCATCTGCCTGTCTCTCTTTCTTGGTCTTTTTTTCTCTCTCTGTCTTTGCGTCTCTCTGTCACATATGGATCTCTGTTTCGGTCTGTCTTTGCGTCTCTGTTCTCTTTGTCTCCTTATCTTACTTCCCTGTCTTTTCTCTCTCTGCTCTTCTCCCTCCCTTTGTCTCAATCCCTACGTCTCTCCATATGGCTGTCCCTTTCTGTCCGTCTCCCCCTCCTCTTTCCCTCGGCTTCAGGTCCCTCCCTCATCCTTCCTTCCCCATCTCAGGGACCCCACAGCCCTGGGTGCAGACTCAAGCTCTGTGGCTGTCAGGACCCAGAACCTGGACTCCTGAGGGAGGGGACACAGTGGAGGGAGGGGCTGGGACGGCAGCCCCTAGTTGGGTAGGGGCCCTCTGCGGCTTCTGGGGGCCCACAGAGCAGACAGGAGATGGAGGAGGCAGCCTCTCAGCCCCGCTGACGTGTCTGAGGATTTGCCTCCAAACCATCCCCATTGCTCCTGAAGGACCATCGGCCTCCAGCGTGTCCACGTCTGGAGCCAGAAGGGGACCTTTCCTGCCCCAGTAAACTCCAGGGCACGCAGAGATGTGGCGTCTCTGCCCCGTCCTTCTCTGTGCTTGTTTCCCCAACTGCAAAATGCGGAGGCAACTACCATATTGGGAGGTGGGGGGAAGAGAAGGAGAAAAACGTATCTTGTTCTCTCTGTGGTCTGACCCCACAAGGTCATTTCTCCAAATCCTAGGACAGTTGTCCAGCCCCTCAGAGTTTGAGGGTCATGTGGGTGCCCCACACAAGCTGCTATTTTTGTGACCTTCAAAGTAATATGATTTAAATATTCCACGTTGATGTGCAGGGGCTGCTGGGTGCTGTGTGAGGGAAGGATGGGGGGCTGCACCCTTGGTGGCGCAGTTCAGCAATTCCGCTCTGGCCCCGAGCTTGCATGCCTGATTCCTCTGTGGTCACCTGGAGGGCCCTCCTTAGGGGACAGCTGAGCAACCATCCGTTGTTCCTCAGGCCAGCTCATCCCATGTGACTTCGCAAAGACTCCTTTCCAGACATAGACCTCTTCTCTCCCTGGGAGACATTCCACTAAACGGAATTTTCCCCACTTCCCTACATTTCAAATGCTCCCTACAGACTAAGGCCCCGGGAAACCAAAATCTGGAATCTGGAGCACATCTTTCCCAATGTTGACATTTTTTTCCCTATTTTTTTTTATCTTGATAAGTACGGTGCTAAGTTGACCCCATCGTGGAACAAAGAGAAGGGTGATGTAGGTCTCATAACACACGGAGCTGATGTAAACCAGCTGGACCATCCTGACACGTTTCTCACTATTTTTCTTCCCTGAGAATCTGTGTGGGTCCTTGTGTAGCCCCTGCCTACGTCTTTCCACTGTTGTGCTTGTGGAAAAATGTACTTTGGGGAAGATAAAGTGAAATCCTAGATGGGAAGTCCTTTGTCCGTGTCGTAAAGAGCTTGCCAATGGAATGCGTGACAGCACGGTGGGGAAATTGTCTCCAGTGCCGCCTGTGGGTAAACATTTATGTCCAAGCTCTCTCTCGAGCCCCCACACCCCATTCCTCAGTGCCTCAGGAGGCAGTTTCTCCCATGATGCTGTGCTCTCCGTGGGCCTCCAAGGCTGTGGGTAATATCTTCTACTGGGCACAGGCCTGTGCTAATTTGCAAGGCTAGGCTACTCCTTGCAACTGGACCTGGAAAGTCCCAGGATGGAATCTGACTCAGGAAACCACATTCCACTCCTGGCTCTTCCGCCCGCTGGCCCTGTGAGGGGGGCTGCTCCTTTCTGCCACAGAACAGGAGTGGATGCTGTGGCAGCCTCACCTCACTCCTACTTAAAAGCAGGAGCAGAAAGCCCTAGAAACCGTCGTGAGTGGACAGGGAAGGAAGAAACCGCTGCAAGCTGTGATGAGACCGGGTGGCTTCTCAGCCCAGGGTTTCACACCGAGACATATTCAGCCCTAGCTCCCGTTTGTTGAAGTCTTACTATGAGCCTCTTAGATTCTTCACAACAGCCCTGTGCAGGAGAAGCAGCATGGCTCCAGTTTACAGATGAGGAAACTGAGGCCCAAAGAGATGACATGATGTCCAGGGTCACCCATGGAGCTGGAAACACAGCCAGTATCTTGACGGTCCAGTACAATAACATCTCTAACTGCCTTTCAAGGTAGCACCCCAATGCCTTAGCTCTCTGAGAATGGGAGGCCCAGATGGTGGAGAGCAGTCTCAGGAGCCTGATGGCTTGGGTTTCAATCTTGGCTCTGCCTCTCGATAGCTCTGTAATTGGGGCGAGTTATTTGATCCCTCTGTGCCTCAGTTTCCTCATCCACAAAACAAAACCCTCATAGGATTGTTGAAAGGATCAAGTTGCCTAATATACATAAAAGGCTCAGACCAATGTCCAGCACAGGGTTGGGGCTATGGAAGCGTTCCTCCACACTCCAGCTACCCAGAACTCCTCTCGGTTCCTCGGTTCTAGAAATGAAAACCTGATCATGTCCTCCCTTCCTTTTGATTAAATACTTTTAAGGGCTGCTCAGTTTCTCTGGGCTAGCACTGAACTCTTCATCACAACCCTCTCCAGCCTCATGCTCCCCCTTGCTCTCTGCGCTCCCTCAGCAGTCATTCACTGTAACCTGTTTCTTCCCACCCACCGCAGGGCCTTTGCACCTGCTGTTCCCACCACTTTTCCCTCCTCTCTTAGGCTAGTAGATTCCTCCTCATCCTTCAGTTTTAGGCTTAGGCATCTCTTCCTCCAGGAAACCTTTCAGGATGCTGCCTGACTAGGTCGTGATCTTGGCTAGGCTGACTGGGCTGCTTAGCTCCAGACTGCAGGTTGGACCCATGCGTCTCTCCCCAGGGGGGACCAACAGCCCTCCAGGGCATGCTCTTCTCACAGCAATGGCAGAAGCACACAAGAGTGAATAGAAACATGTGGTGCATCTGAAGACTTTGGTAGAGACCCACTTTCGCTCTCATTCCAAGGGTCAAAGCAACTCATCCGGCCACACCCAGCATCAGTGGGGTGGGGATGTGGACTCGACCCAGAGAGGAACCCCCCAGCGCGTCACCCTCTCATGCACCTAAGCACGAATACTGCTCTCCTGCAGCCCTAACTGTATCAATGAGTCGACATTCATTGGACAATCTGGATCTCAAAAACACTAAGACCCATGGATGTTTTTGCAACTCATTTTATCCCCAGCGCCCAGCACAGTGCCTGGCACATAGCAGGTGCGCCATAAACATGTGCGTAAAAGAACGGGTGAATGGATGAGTGCATGAGGCCCCCGAGGTGGCCCCGAAGGGGTGGGGTGGCTTCTCGCCTCCCCCAGCTCACCTGCCGTGTTCCCTGCCCCCCCGCTGCGGGAAGGGTTCAAAGGTGAGCGGGACCACTGGCGCAGCGGGAGGACCATCTGCATCAAGACGCACGAGAGTGGCCAGAAGGAGATCGAGGCCTTCGATGCCGCCATCCTGCTCATCCGCAACCCCTACAAGGCCCTCATGGCGGAGTTCAACCGCAAGTACGGCGGCCACATCGGCTTCGCCGCCCACGCGCACTGGAAAGGCAAAGGTATTGCTCGGCCGGGGAGGGGTGAGGCGGGGCCCCAGGGGCGCGGCAGGGGCCCATGCTGTCCCCCGTGGGCAGTCCAGGAGGGCGTCCTGGAGGGCATGCGTGTGATGCTCCCCTTTCCTGCTCACGGCTCAGGAGGTGCACGTCCCGCATCCCACTACACCCCAAGCATCACCCTCCATGGGCCAGGCTGCTGTCATGGCACAGTGGTTACGGGCGTGGGCTCTGGAGCAAGCTGCCCTGGGTTCAAGTCCCAGCTCCGCCACTTCCTGGAAAAGCCCTGTCACCTCACTCAGCTTAGACCACTCCACGTGGAAAATGGGGATAATAACTGGGGGGCTTGAAGTAAAGTTAACTCTTTCAAAACACTCGCAGACGGGACTCATTATGGGAGACCCTTATGTAATCGATATAGGATCTATTGAAACAGGTTCACGAGCCCTCTCCTGGGAGTCAGGAGACCTGAATCCAGCCCAAGTTCAGTGGCTGAGTCCTAAGAGCTCACAGAGCATCATTTCAATGAACGCTCCCAACATCTCGACCTGGGAGGCTCAGAGAGGTTAAGTGACTTGCCCCAGGCCACACAGCTGGGGAAATGTCAGTGATGGCCCCTAAGCACTGAACTTCATTAAGATGACCTGTGTTTGAGATTCCACTCTGGCACTTGGTAGGTGACAGGTGCGTGGATGAATGTCTCGATGCAGGGTGGCCGCCCAGGGGAGTGGCGAGAGCTTTGAAGTCAGACTCAACTTCTGCCATCTTGAGTCTCTTTAACCCCCCTGGGTCTCAAAATCCCAGATCTCCATGGCTGTAATGAGAGTCACAACGATGAGTGTTTTTAACCCTCCACAATTAACCCATTTACAGATGGAACAAGGTAAGCTCAGGGAGGTGAACGAGCTTTTTCCAGGAAGTGGTGGAGCTGGGGGTTGAACCCAGGAAGTCTGGCTCCTGAGCCCATGCCCTTAGCCACTGTGCTGTGATAATGGACTAGCCAACATGCCAATGGATGCGAATCACCCAGCCCGGAGGCCCTGAGGCCCAGCAGATGCTCTGTAACGTGAGCTCCCCCAACCTCACCTCAACAGCCTCCAGGAGCCAGGCTGCCCCAGCCCCAAGCCCGGGGGTGCTTCCCACTCCCCCAGACCCTACCCGGGCTCCCGGCTGCTCCGAGGCTCCGGCCCCTCTCCAGAGAGGAGGAGGGCGTGGCAGGATGACGCTAACTCGGGGATCCACCCACCACGCCCTCAACGCTGGTGTCACTGGTTAAAACCCCTGGGCCCGTCTGAGCAACTGTGCCCTGGGCTCCCGCTTCACTCAGAGGCGCCCACCTGTTCCTCCTCCTGCCCGGCTCCCCGTCTCAGTGAGGGGGTGGAAGCTTGGACAGGTCGTGACATTTGTTCCCTTGTCCCCAGGAGTAAAGAGGGCTCTGCGTGATTTATCTGTAGAGCACTCGAAAGTGAACACTGGCCAGCGCCAGGCTGCGAAGTCTGCGGGTACAAAGGGCAGGAAAGGACCAGGGAGATCGCTGAGCCTAGTGGACCTCAGCCCCGGCTGTGCATCAGAAACCCCAGAGGAGTATGGGAAAATCCCAGTGCCCAGGCTGCCCCCTGGACCATTACTGGAGAGGAGCCTGACGTCAGTGTTTGTCAACGCTCCCGGCTGCTTCCAGAGCACAGGCAGCGCTGAGAACCACTGACTCCTTCTCTAGTTAGTAATGGGAAACTGAGGCCAGAGAGAGGCAGGGACCTGCCAAGGTCACTCGGGACTCGAACCTGGCTCTCCACCTCCCGGGCATCCTGCTGCCCCTGGTGAAGACGGAGGGACCTCACTTGGGAAGCTGCTGTGGGACCAGGCGCTAAGCATCCATTACTCACTCAACCCTTGTAATTACCCCAGGAGGTTAGAAAGGCCGCCATAATCATCGGGAGCATCCCACTGCACAGGTGAGAAAACCATCCCAGGGAGGGAGAAAGCCAGGCAGCCGAGGCCCCAGCTGTCGGCTGAGCTGAGATTCAACCCGGGCGTTAGCTGCCGGGCTCTCTCTTACCTGGGGCTGTCACTGACCTTCTGCTGCATTCAGAGCTCCTCCTTTTCTGGCATAGCCCCTCCTCCCAGGTTCAGACAATTCTCCTATTTCCCAGGAGTGGCCTCACCTCTTTTTGCCCTTGCTCAAGACAGCTGGGAGCTTTAAAACCCAAGATAAGGGAGGCTCAGGGCAGGCTGGAAGAGAGGCGGTTCCAGCACACGCATCTCATATTGGGCGTCTGGGGTCCCCACATCAGTACCTTCTCCTGGCGCCTGACCCAGGTCTTCGTGAGCTCTGGCTGAGAACCTTCCCAAAGAACCATTCTCCAGAGTCCCTGCCAAGCCCATTCTTCTTATTTGTGTGAACATCTGGCCCCCGTAGGCACTTGAGTTGGAGAGCCTTGCTTTAGGATCAGCATCCTCGGTATCCCTTGGGAAAGAGTTGGAAATGCGAACTCTCAGCCCCACTGCAGACCTGCTGCGTCAGAAACTGGGAGGGGCCCAGCACCCTGTGTTCCGGCAGTCCTCCGGGTGTTTCCGACGCCCACTCCAGTTTAAGACCCCCTGCTTTAAACTTGAGCCGCTCAAAGCATGGCCTGTGGACCAGCGGCATCAACATCCCCTGGGAGAGTTTTAGGAAAACAAACCTCAGCCCCACCCCACCCTGCCCAGGCTCACTGGATCAGACTCTGCATTTTAACAAGATTCCCCCAGAAGTCTTGTGCACACTTTAAAGTTTGCGAATCGCTGCTTTACGATGCTCTTGGCCTGGAAAATGGAAGTCACCCCCCTGAGAGCAGAGGTCAGCCAGCTGTTGAGCATGTCCACCCCACCCTGCCCGTGTGCCCCCTCCCAGTTGTAGCTGAGTCGAGGATCCTGCAACTCCCCCTGCCCCAACCTGGGCTTTTGGTTCCATGATGTTAATTTCACAGTCTCCCTGGAGTGGGTCCAAAGCAAAGGTTTATGTGGTGTGATTACACAAGGTGAACTGTGTTGGATCTGTTTAATGAAACAGAGGCTGTGTTTAATGACTCCATAGGGAATTAAGGACAGTTAGGCTATTAATCAGGCCCTTCTTCCTCCCATCGACAAGAAGATGGAGGGAAGACGGCCAGCCCATGCCCGGCCAGGCCCACGGGTGTGACAGTCCAGCAGGACCAGCACCGGTTCCCATGCTCCACGGCTCAGAGCGCCTTTATCACCCAACTGGAAGGCAGCGTCCAACTACCGGAAATCCTGAAGCTAATCTAGGGCTTTATTTTCATTTTTCTCCTTCTTCTTTCCAAGGAGGTAACTTAGGAGCTTCCAGTGAGGAATCTTTGCTGAGCGAGCATCTGCTGTGGAAACAGCCTGGGTGTCAAAGGCGGTGCTGGAGGGGAAGCTCTGGCCGAAAAGATGGGGCACAGGGGGCGTCTCAGAGACGCTGTGGACCAACATCGAGTAATCGTAACAGCAGACGACACTGATCGAGCTGCTCCTGCGTCCCGGGCCCTGAGTCAGGGTCTTTGCGCATCTTTTCCATTCCATTTGCGCAGCAGGTCTGGGATGCAGGTCTTAGCACGGTCGCCATTTTGCAAATGGGTAAACTGGGACGCAAAAGAGATCGACTAACGTCCCCAAGGTCACACAGCTAATGTAGAGAGGAGCTGGTTTTAGGACGCTGGCAGTCTGACTTCAGAGTCGTCTGTGAATGGACCCCGTGTCTCAGACCACACCTGAAGGTGAAGGGAGCAGTCAGCGGCCCGGGATCCGGAGCGAGAAGCGTGCTGGAGCGGATCCGATCAGGAGCTGTTCAAGGGTTCACTGGGAGGGCGGGAGCCAGGCTCAGTCTGGGACAGACGTGGCTTCGAATTCTGCCTTGGATGTCCACTGTGTGGCCTTGGGCAAGTGGCTTCGTGCCTCTGAGCCTCCTTTTCCCCCATATGTAAAATGAGGCTAGTATTTCCTCTCTCCAGGCTTCTTGTGGGAGTTGCACGAGATAATGCATGTGAAGTGCCCAGCACCACTCTGACACACAGTAGGCACTCAGGCAACATACATTCCCACCTCAGGGAGGTCTGAATCAACAAGGATGCCGTGTCATCTCCATCCCACCTGCATCCAAGCTTAGGGGCCCCATCTAGGGGACCCTGGCCACCACGCAGACTGGCCCTTCTTTGTCCTTGAGGACACTGAGGCCCTCCTCCAGCAAACACTTGAGATGGTCGGAAGTGGCCAAGCCTAGAAGTCTGGGTCTGTGTGTCACTGGGTGACCAAGTGCCATCTCCATCTACCCGGGCTTCTGCCATGGCAGTATCAGTCATCCTGAACCACTGAGGATGCTGTGAGGTGACTCAGGAGTGGGGAGATTCTTTTAAAAAGTCAAACAGACTATAGACATGCTACATTTTTCCTAATCACCCAGATACATCTGGCCTTAACCCATTTTAACAGTACGGGCCCAATTAGCCAGATACATTGTAAATAATCTATTTTAAGGGTAAAAAATATCCTTGTCACCAGCATAAATATTTCCCAAGCAGCCGTGGTCTTCCAGGGGGGCAGTGGGGGAGCAGGCGCCTCACCACAGAGTCTGATGTGTTCTGCAAAGAAAGCGGAGCCCTTTATCACGTCGCAACTTGGCGGTTGGGAATTTCAATTTAGCTCAGCAACCATTTATTGAGCCCCTGCTGGGTGTAAGGCAGTGGGAGGAAGTGGGAGTGAGGCTGCTGGGGCCTGGGAAAGATCGGGACCTGGAATCAGGCGGGGCTGGTCTGGGTGGTATTTCCCGGCTGCGTGACCTTGGGCAAGTTACTTCACCTCTCTGAGCCTCAGTTTCCTCACTGGCGGTAAGTGAACAGTAGTCCTTTCCTTTCAGAGTAGCCGTTAGGGTTAAATGAGATAATGAGGACCCATCACCAGCAAGGAATGAGGATTAGTTATTAAGAACCAGCTGGGATTCCCAGACTAGCTTGGGAGACTCATTGAGCCATATTCAATAAACAGAGTCCTCTGGAGGCTGCCGGTGGTGTTGCCCTCTGAGAAACAGTGGGTCTGGCTTCACAGTTTCAGAGCGCCCGCCCTGTGATTCTCCAGCTGGGGCTCAGAATTGAGCCAGCAGACCCCTCTCTCTGTTCCCAACATCCTCCCGGGCCCCCTCTGCAGTGACCCTGACTGCTCCTTCCACCAGAGTTTCCGCAGCTCCAGGGGCTGGCCGGCCCTTTGAGGTCCTCTCCAGGGCTCCCCAAGGAACTTCCCCCGTTCTGTTGTAGACTGTCTTTCAAGTCAGATGACCCCAAACACACCCTCCCAATTTGGGGGACAATCCATCCTGCCATTTTACCATGGCGAGGTAACAAACAGCAAAAACAGACTGTACGTGATCCTTTGATAAAATGTGAAGAGAGGGGCCGCCCCATGGCTGAGTGGTTAAGTTCACGTGCTCCACTTTGGCAGCCCGGGGTTCACGCGTTTGGATCCTGGGTGTGGACCTACACACCGCTTGTCAAGCCATGCGGAGGCGGCGTCCCATATAGAAGAACTAGAAGGACCTTCAACTAGGATATACAACTATGTACTGGGGCTTTGGGGAGAAAAAAAAAAAGAGGAAGATTAGCCACAGATGTTAGCTCAGGGCCAATCTTCCTCACCAAAAAAAAAAAGTGAGGAGAGAAAGATGGAACAGAATGGTAAATATAAATAATCCGACTTAAACTCTGCCCTCCACCCTCAGTGTGTTGGGGAGACAGACAACATACATGGGAGGTCCAGGAGTGGGGGCTGGGAAGCCGAGAGGAGGCACCTGAAAGGGCCTGGGGCCGGGGGGGAAGACGACACCTCACCTGAAAACAGAACACCCTCAGTAATAATAATAACCAACACTCACTGAGCACCTACCGGGACCTGGGCACCATGTTCATAACTGTCTATGCTTTTCCACATCCTACTATTATCCTGTGAGTAGATACTGTTACTACACAGGGCACTATTACTACGCAGAGTAACTATCACCTCACAGGATAACTTGGTAGTTAAAGCTCAGCCTTTGAAGCCAGCCTGTTTGGATTCAAATCCTGGCTCTGCTGTGTGTGTTTAATTAGCTGTGTGACCTTGAGCAGGTTACAGAACCTCTCTGTGCCTCTGTTTCCTTTTCTGTCAAATGAAGATAACAATAATATCTACGTTGTAGGGGTGTTGTGAGGAATAAGTGGAACTAATAGCAATATTGATATATTTGTTATATTCTATATTAATATGTATTAAAATATAAAAATATAGTAACATATTTAATATAAGGCTGGGCCTGGCATGTAGGAAGCACCGGACAAGTATTACTGTTGTCCCCAAAAGAAGGAAGGGCTGGGACTATTGCAGGTGGAAAAGCGGCGTTGAGGCTGGGGAATCAGCTGAGTTTGGAGATCTAAAAGGAGTTAATCATATTATTAGCATGAATAACGGGCAACAGCCACCAGCCCATCTGCCCCGCGTCCTCTGAGCCCTCCCTCTGACTCGCGCTCCCCGCTGTCTCCGCAGAGTGGCCGGAGTTCGTGCGGAACTACGCCCCGTGGTGGGCCACCCACACGCTGGACTGGCTCCAGTTTGGCAAGAAGGTTCTGGTGGTGCACTTCGAGGACCTGAAGGAGGACCTCTTCGTCCAGCTGGGCCGCATGGTGGGCCTGCTGGGTGTGGCGGTCAGAGAGGACCGGCTGCTCTGCGTGGAGAGCCAGAAGGACGGCAACTTCAAGCGCTCGGGGCTCCGGAAGCTCGAGTACGACCCCTACACGGCGGACATGCAGAAGACCATCTCCGCCTACATCAAAGTGGTGGACGCGGCGCTCAAAGGGAGGAACCTCACCGGCGTCCCAGATGACTACTACCCCAGATGATGCGTCCGAGGGCGCGAGGGGGCCGGGAGTCCTGGCCAAGCCGGCCCCGGGGGACTCGAGACCCCTGGGGACCCCCATCTGTCTGTCCTCTCTTTGGTTTGGGGACAATCCCTTGGCTGCTGTTGGCCTTCAGTGAGTTTTCTGCATGACAAAGGAGGCTCGGGGGAGAGATTGTCCGGGCACTCCCCACCTGGGCGCACCCCCTCTTGGCAATGGGGCACAGCTGGTTTGGGGAGTTCCAGCCACGTGGACCGTTTTCTGTCTCCTGTGTCCCTGCCTCCACCACTCCGGGTTCCACCTGTGGGAGGGAGGGCTGGTGGGTGTCCAGGAGACGTGGGTGCCCCACCGCAGGTCTTGAGGACCTTAATGTGAGAGCTAAAGGGACTATTGTAAGAAAAGTGGCCCCAGACTCTCCTCCCTTCTGGGCTGAGCTTTCAAAGCATCCTCATCTCTTCTCCAGCTGGCAGAATGGGCACCAAGGTTTATCCAGGCCACTGCTGTTTGACAAAAAAATTCCTGGGAAGTTAGTCTGTGGCCTTAGGCTTCCGACATTCGGGGTGGGGTGGGGAGACAATGGTGCTCGCAGCAGATTCACTGGTACCACCGTGTGGAGTCACTGGCGTCATGAGCCCACCCCCGGGGTCACACTGCTCCTGAGAAACGATCCGGCTGCTTGTCCACCCCTGTGTGGTGACCTTGGGATCCCTGATCCAAATTCCAGGCTTCCTCAGGCATCCACCGTTATCCCACCAGGATGGCCATGTGCCATGTGCGGAATCTGAGTAAGGAGGAGAGCCCCAGTGACACATCTCTCCACTGTGGGGTCCAACACGTTGATCTTACACTGCCCTCGGACCCTGACCAGTGGGTCCTTTGCTATCCAGATGAGGGAGCAAGAGTAATCCAAATCAGCTGACACCACAACCAAAAGAGACCCCGATACCTTCCCAGATTATCAACCTCCCCTGATCATAGTCCAAGGGGGCAGCTTCCTTTGGGGGCCCTTTAAGGAATGAGATGAATGGAATGGCTCTTCCTCTCCATCCAAATGCTGCTCCCTTGATGCTGAGACACCAAACCAAAGGATTTCCGAGGACCTGGGTCACTGATATCTCTCTTGGAAATCATTGACCCAGGATCCATCTCTTCCCCCACCTTGAATACTGGTGGCTTCACATCTGGCCCACACCTGCACACCTGCCCCATTCCCCACCACGTAGATGCAAAAGCCATAGGTCACAGCTCTTTGCTGTTCTGCCTGGAGCAGCCCCCCTCAGCAGCCCCTCTTAAGCCTTGGGGTGCAGGTAAATGCTCATTCCCAAATAGCCAAGAGACTATGGAGAAGGCGAGTATAAAGAGATATATTTTTCTAAGAGGAATATGACTAATGCATTCCACCCCTTGGAACCCGGCCATGCAAAGAGAACGGCCTGGGGATCGGACCTGTGTTTCTCCTCCCTGATCCCCTCATATGTAGGATCTGGGCCACCCCGGGGCCCAGCCAGGGGGCTCTGAATGTATTTTGTACCATGTTTCTTTCCCCCAGGCTAATTTCTAGTCTTCTTTCGTGAAGCCCTAGGGGGCTGGGCCTCCCGTCCCACTCAGAGATCCACTCTCTTTGGGAGACTCTTGATCCAAGACCTGGGCCGGCTCCTTGCTGGTGGTCACCTCGGGCCGCAGGCCTCTGTCTGAAGATTCCTCAGGTCAACCCATCATTAAAAGCGAGATTTGTTGATAATTCTCCCATGCAGTAGAGTGTTGTGTAAGGCAAGTTCACAGATGGGGCATTTTTCTGGGGGGGGGGGGGTGTAAAGAGACAGAGACAGAACGTTCCGGGGCGTACAATTGCTTCTGTGTCTGTGTAACTCTGTAACTGCCTGGGAAGAACTGTGTGTCTGTGTGTGTAAAATTGTGTCGGTGTTCAACTGCCTTCTGTGTCGGAGACCGTACCCCCTGTTGGCGTGATGACCGTCCCATTTCTAATGTGTCTGTGTGGGTTCCTGTGTGTGCAGTTGTGCACGTGTAGAGCAGGAAATGGCCTGTGTGCATGAACGCCATGCAGGAGAAGGTGCTTATCTATGGGGGAGGGATGTCTTCTGTATATGCCTTTTGTCTTTGGCAATTGTGCGACGTGTGTGACGTGTGTGTGTGCGCGCCCGTAGGAAGGGATTACCAGGGTGTTGTGTAAGTGTTCCTGCTTGGGTCTGTGCACGGCTGTGGAAGCGGTTATCTATGGAAGGTGTCCCTTTTGTGTATATTTGTGAGTGTGTGTATGATACAGAGTCCCTGCGTGTGGTGTGCACATGCGTGCATAGGAGGAAGCCGGGGCCCAGAGAAGGCCCCCGTCCCTGCTGGGTGGGGGTGAGTCTCAGTTTCTGAACCTCCACTTGCTCCTGAAGGAGGGCCTTGTGTCCTCTCTCCTCACACGACAGAGGGCTTCTGTGGAGCAATGAAGGTGCCCCAGGAACCATCTCCCAGCCGGAGGGAGGGGACAAGGTTTTCCGTACTGCCATGTAGACCGGGGGGGGGGGGGGGGGCGGTAAACAGAGCTGGGACAGGCAGAGGAAGGGGAGGGGGGCTTCTCCCCACCCAGGGGGACAGCTCAGGAGGACAAGGCGGGGTCTTTCCCCCCAGTCCTGGGTCCCCTGCGTAGGGGAGGGGAAGGAAGAGCTCAGAGATGGGAGAGTGTGAAGCTGTTCCAGGACCAAGGACAGAGGCTTTCTCCTCTAAGTGTTGGTGTTGGCTCCAGAAATTCTTCCCAGATAACTCTCTGGGCCCCAGGCTAGACTCTGACCCCGATCTCAAGCCAAGCCTGACTTAGTCACAGACTGAGCCCCAATCCTAGAACCTTGATCCTGGATCACAGCTAAGCCCTAATCCTGATCACAGACCGAGCCCCGATCCTGGATGTATACTGATCCATGATCCTGGTCTCCTTTGCACATTGAACTGGGACCCTGGCCAGAGTCCCGAATCTGGCCCTACCCATGCTGAGTCTTGACCCCAATCGCTGACTGCAGTCCAACCTGGGTCACAGGCTGATCCCTGACCTGTCCCAGAACAAAGGCTGATAGTGTGTCTGGGTTGAGCTTGAATCTCTGTACAGACTGAGCGCTAGTCCCGGTCCTGGATGAGTCCTGATCTTGGTCTCTCTGAGTCCTGACCTTGGCCTCAGTCTAAGCCCTCACCTGACCTCTGATCAAGCCTTGACCCTGGTCCCAGGCTGAGCTCTGAACCAATATACCAGTTTCCTTTCTCTTCTCTGAATATTATCTCTAACCAAATTCTCCCTGAGCGGGAGTGAGGGAAGCCATGGAGGGTCTAGCGCCAAGCTCTCCTGGGCTCTCCTCCTCGCATCTCACAGGTTCTGTGCCACATCCTCTTCCTCACCACAGTTCCTCACGGGGTGGCAGTGAGGGGGTCTCACAGCCCTTTAGGCTGGAGCTGGGGCTGATATGGACAGTATAGCAACCTCTGCTTTGGCCGATCACTGCCCCTTTTATCACACTTCATCACCATGTTGATTCAGATCTGTATTTCAGACCCAGAAGGAACCAAGGTAGCTTTCATTCACTCATTTCTTCAACAAATCTGTACTGAGCATCTACTGTGTGCCTGGCACTGCTCTAGGTTCTGGGGATTTCAAAAGGAACAAAACACAAAAACCCCCACCACTACGGAGTTTACGTTTTACCAAGAATGGAGCAGATCCTTGTAAGTGATCAGAAGCCTTTGGGGGAGACGATGGAGGGGCAAAGAAGAAAAAGGGCTTCGGGGCCTCCTGACCAACCCCAGGAGATGGTATTAACCCCATTTTACTGAGGCTCAGAGACTAGTGGTAACTGGCCCAAGTCACACAGAGATCAATAGCAGAGCTGTGGCCAGTCAGTGCCCTCTCCAGAAAGTCCCATTCATACACAGAGTGACAGTGCCCTTGCACCCGAGGAGGAAGGAAGTCTGGATTCCAGTGGTCATGCAGTGCAGGGGACACGCCCGGCTTGGAGGCCAGGACATCTGGGGGCTCCCATCCTGCTGTCACCTCCAGTGCAGCATGGCTCCGGGACTCGAGGATAACAGGCAGGACGCAGCATCTGCTGATGGCTGGGATTTCCTCCTGGTTTCTCCAGTAACCCCAGAGGCTGCTGCAAACATATTCCCTGTGGACAGTGTGGGAGGGGGAGGCAAAGGGGGTCTGGGGGCAGGTCCCTGGGGACCCATCTCCACCCAGGGGCCCAGCCCTCTTCCCTTCTCCTTTCTCTCTTGCATTGGTTTAATTTCTCCCATCGCTCCCCCTTGCTCACTGTTTTTCTTTACACTCCCTCCTGCTCTCAATTTCCCTCTTTGTAGTCTCTTTCATTTCCTCCAGCTGCTCATTAAACCTCTTTGCTTTCTTGTCTTTCTCCTCTCTCCCTGTCTCTCTCTCCTGTCTGTCTCTTTCCCTCTCTTTCTCTTTCCCTCATTTCGTCGTTCTCTCTCTCTTGATTTCTGCTTCTGTTTGTGCAAGCATCTCCCCATCTCTATCTCTTGACCTCTGAGCTCTCTGTCTCCCTGCCTGTCTCTTGCTCCCTCCCTTCTTCCCCATTCCTGCTGTCCTCTCCTGCCTCCTCCTTCTCATCTTCCTGGAGACTGGGGGCGACTCAGCGAGATCCAGACACAGTGAGACAAATGCTACCCAGGCCGGTAACCAAGGAGGTGGTTTCCTTAGCAACAGAATCTGCAGGCACGTGCTCCACTGCCCGTCCCTTAGCTATTACAGTAAGTACTGATGGGGGAGGAGGGCGGCAAGCCTGGAGACAGGGAAGTCGGTCAGGACACTGCTATAGTGACCCTCCTGAGAGGGGACAGTGGTTGCAGACCAGCTCAGTGCCTGGCACTTTGGGGACACTCAAAAACATGAGAGGTGGGGGGGCTGTGGGGTCAGTAAGAGGCATATAGTGTGGAGAGAGCTGAGGGAAGAATCCATGCGACTTGGTGACAGACTGGTTGTGGGGAGGGGGAGGTTCTTTGGCAAAGAAGCCAAAGGGAGCACCAGGATTCTGCCTGCACATCTCTCAGGAGCTGAAGGTCATGGGGCAGAGGAGCTGGGGCGGGGGGCGGGGGGGAGGGAGAAAAGACAGTAAGCTAACATAGCTCCCTGTCCTCAAGTTCACCATCTAGTTGGGGTGACATTGGCGGAGGGAAGTGGAGGCAGACACAGAAATATCTGGTTCAATTCTCCTTATAAATTGGCGACAAGAACACGGGAGAATAAGCATAGCCCTGAGGGTGGTGAGAGGTCCAAAAGGTAAGCATTGTGCTCAAGTGACGCAAAAGTTGGTGACAACCCTTGGATTCGAACCTTGGAATGATCCAGAACCTGTCCCGAAGATGGAAGACAGAAGAGGGTCGACTATGGAGAGACAAAGAGGCAGATAAAGAGACAGAGAAAAACAGAAAGAGAGAGAGTGAAATCATTGATTTGGCACTTTTTCCCACTGGGAAAACAAAAATATGTTCAATTTTAGAGAAATGAGAAGGCGGGAGGGAGGAGACAAAAGCGCCCCCCAGTATGATGGCTTTTGTAGCTATGAATAACTGTCCCCAGAGAAGACACCTGTTGAGATGCATTCATTTCCAGGGAGACGAGTCGTGTCCCCAGCCCAGGTTGATATTTAAGTGACTCAGAAGGGGTGATGGGGTGAAGGGCAGAAAGTTGATCAATGTAACATGGAAGCCTCGCTCGGCTTTTCCCAAAATGCAGTCAAACGTGCAGGCGAGGAGAGCTGTAAACCCAGATGATAATAATATCCATCCTCGCAAAAGCAACATGTTTATTTATCATCTTTGCACGTCGACTATTTCCCCTCAAATTTACAGTCCACAGTCTGCCGGCGTGCAGCAGGGGAAACATGGAAATGAGAGCAAACTGGCAGAACAGCGAGGAGGAAGAAATGATAAAATATTTATCTCCTCCGTCCACCTCACCCCCACCCCCTGCCCCAGCTGCCTGAGATCCAATTTCCAACAAAAGTGGCGATTTATCGGAGCGGGGCTGTGTGTCTCTATTTCAGGCCTCTGACGGCTAATTGAAGTGAACAGTCATTATGGAATGGAATGTGTTGCGGCAAAATGATTTTTGTGTATTCTGGAGTCATTTGCTAGACAATTATGGGGAATGAGCAGTTAGCTGGAAGTGAGAGAGAGGGTCGATCTTGGTGGGGACAAACCTCTTGTGTGTCCTACAGTTTGGGACAAGAAGGAGGGGGAGGCAACTCGGGGACCAAATTCCCTCCCAAGACCTGAGTTGGGTTCCCAACCCATAATCATAGTTCCCTGGTCTTCCAAAAGTTGGAATGCCCAGGCCTTCTCTAGAACTTCTGAATCAGATTCCCCAAAAGTTGGAGCCCAGAAGTGGGCAGGAGGGACCCTGCGGGCTTGCAGGGGGGCCAAGATGTGTTTACTGCTGCCTTGTTGATAACTACTTGCCCCACTCTGGGTACCACCACAGCGGAAGAGTACAGAGGATTGTCGACGTCATTCACACACCCATGGCTTTCCATGCGTTACAATCCACGTATCCCTACATTGAGCACAGGACCTGGCACATAGCATGTGCTGAGGAAATGAAGAAATGCTTGTTTATCTTCTGAATAAGTGAATCAAGGAATATTAAAGGATATTCAGAGAAAAGCCACAAGTCATCAGCAGAAGCAGACATGAGTTATGCCCTTCGCTGCCCTGAATTTTCTCTCCAGTAATACTCAATT